ATGCATCGACTATAGATATTAATTAAAACTTTCATCATGGATGAGTAAAGTACGTATCGTACTTTCCCCCCCTTATTTATGAATTTCTCCGGCCGAATTTTTGTAATAAAATATTTAATAAGACAATACTCAAAAGTCTTCTACGATATATATATATATATATATATATATACTACTTTTTTTACTATATTTTTTTCATTGAAGTTAATATATTAAAATTATAACAAGATACATTATCTTTTAAAGGACATTAGAAAGAGTGTTATGAATTCATTATATTTAATAATTGAAGATATACATATACAATAGACTCAAGGAAGAAGCCTCGGCTAACTCTGTGCTAGCAGCCGCGGTAAGACGGGGGAGGGGGGGAGTGTTCTTCGGAATGACTGGGCATAAAGGGCACGTAGGCGGTGAATCGGGTTGAAAGTGAAAGCCGCCAAAAACTGACCTGACCATACATCTATCATTGGAATCAGAAGAATTTGGTCCGTCCAACGTCTCTGACCTTGTTCTAAGAAGATCTCATTTTCGTATTTTTTCAGTATGAACCAGTTAAAGAGCATACATCGTAGAAGACGGAACTAACTTTTCCCCTTTCCTTACATTTAAGTGTCCCAAGGGCCCTTTCTTTGCCCCTTGGTTCGCTAGCTGACTTGCCAGCGCTGACGATAAGCCACTGCCTTGTAGTGCTCTCTGAGCTTGATTGCTCCGAGTATTAATAGATCACTTCGAAATGGCATATACATCACATATCCTGGATCAAGTAAAAACTTTGGGGTTCCAACAAGCTACTGCTACATTCATTTCATTAGGAATTAATGATCTTTTAACAATACCTTCTAAGGGATGGCTAGTTCAAGATGCTGAACAACAAAGTTTGATTTTGGAAAAACACCATCAATATGAAAATATACACGCGGTAGACAAATTACGTCAATCCATTGAAATATGGTATGCTACAAGTGAATATTTGCTCCAAGAAATGAATTTGGATTTTAGGATGACTGACCCTTTTAATCCAGCTCATATAATGTCTTTCTCGGGAGCTCGAGGAAATGCATCACAGGTACATCAATTAGTAGGTATGAGAGATTAATGTCGGATCCTCAAGGGAAAATGATTGATTTATCTATTCAAAGCAATTTACGCGAATGACTCTCTTTAACAGAATACATCATTTCTTGCTACGGAGCCCGTAAAGGAGTTGCGGATACTGCTGTACGAACATCAGACGCTGGATATCTCACTCACAAACTTGTTCAAGTAGTTCAACACATTGTTGTACGTCGAACAGATTGTGGCACCGCCCGAGGTATTTCTGTGGGTTCTCGAAATGGGATAATGTCGGAAAGGATTTTTAGTCAAACATTAATTGGCTGTGTATTAGCAGATGACATATACATGGGTTCACAATGTATTGCCACTAGAAACCAAGCCATTGGCATTGGAATTGTAAATCGATTCATAACCTTCCGGGTACAACCAATCTCTATTCGAACTCCCTTTACTTGTAGGACTACATCTTGAATTTGTCGATTATGTTATGGGCGTAGTCCTACTCATGGCGACCTGATTGAATTGGGGGAAGCTGTAGGTATTATTGCAGGTCAATCGATTGGAGAACATGTGCGAGCCCCATATAATGGAAAAATAAAATTCAATAAGGACTTGGTTCATCCGACACGTACACATCATGGGCATTCTGCCTTTCTATGTTCTATAGACTTGTATGTAACTATTAAGAGTGAAGCTATTCTACATAATGTGAATATTCCACCCAGAAGTTTGCTTTTAGTTCAAAACGATCAATATGTAGAATCAGAACAAGTAATTGCTGAGATTCGCGCAGGAATATCCACTTTGAATTTTAAAGAGAAGGTTCGAAAACATATTTATTCTAATTCAGACGGAGAAATGCACTGGAGTACCGATGTCTATGATGCACCCGAATTTACATATGGTAATGTTCATCTATTACCAAAAATAAGTAATTTATGGATATTATTAGGAGGGCCGTGCAGGTTTAGTCTAGTCTACCTTTTGATCCACAAGGATTAGGATCAAATGAATGCGCATTCTCTTTCTGGCAAGCGAAGATATACTTCTAACCTCTCAGTAACCAATGATCAGGCGAAGCAGAAATTGTTTAGTTCGAATTTTTATGGTCAAAAAGAAGATAAAATTTCTGATTATTCAGACCTTAATCGAATCATATGTACTGGCCAGTATAATCTCGTATATTCGTCTATTCTTCACGGAAATTCTGCTTTATTATCAAAAAGACGAAGATACAAATTCATCATTCCACTACACTCGATTCAATAACTCGAGAATGAACTAATGCCCTGTTCAGGTATCTAAACTGAAATCCCCATAAATGGTATTTTTTGTCGAAATAGTATTCTTGCTTATTTCGATGATCCTCGATACAAAAGAAAGAGTTCGGGCATTATTAAATATTAATATTTTGTATAAAATATCTTATTTAACACTCTCAATCTCTCATATAGGATATGTACCATTCAGTAATTTTATACCATTTAAAAGATATTTCTCATTCCGCAATATTAATAAACAGGAATAAAATATTTTCTCTTATATCTTTTTTTGTTTATATAGTTTTGTATTATTCAATAAAATATATCTTTGAACAATTTGAATGTAATTGACTGAATTACACAGTCCATTTCTTTCCGAGTTGAAAAAGAAGGGAAAAATTACATAAACAAAGACCTTTTATTTTATAATTACCAATTTTAAGTACACTTTTTATTTATTACCATTTTTGTCAAGTTTTAGCTATATTAACTTAAAATAATTTTAGAACCCATTTATTCCTTTTTTATACAATTTTTAAACAAAGTAAAACGTATTCTCGTCATATCCTTTCTCGCTCTTTTTTTTTCTTTCTCCTTCTCCTCGTCAAAAATTAGGGTTTTTGGTTTTTTTCTCCATTAATCTGTACGAATTTTAATGGAAGAAGGTATTAGAAGAAGTCCGCGTCTAGTGAGGGCTTCGAATCCAAAAGTTTATCGAATAAATCGAAAGAAGCTTCAAGTTTCGTCTTCTAATTCTATGGATGAAATTCCAAGTTTTAGTTTGGGTATCTCACAAATATAGGGGGAGAAGAACAATGAGGACGAAAAAAAGAATCAAAAGAAAGGTAAAAAAGAGTTAAAGAGGTTAAAACAATGAAGAAATCGAAAAAAATATGTGTTACTTTGGCATCTACATCGAAGAAAATCGTTGACAGTGATGATCATTTTGAGGATTTACCTCCTCAATTTCAGTCAAAAAGTTTGAAAAATAAAGACGGATTGGAAAAGAAAAGACCGGTGAATGATGGAAAAACACGAAATCGTTTACCCAAAAGTGTCATTCTACCAAAGAGTAGATTTCCGGTATGTGCTAGTACTTCTTAGTTATTTGTTGTTTAGCAATGGGTTGTATGTTGATTGCTGCTTGTTTTTTAGATGTAGTATGTGAAATTATCTTTAATTCAACTTTCATTCAACTTTAATTCAACTTTAATTAAACTTTAATTCAACTTTAATTCAACTTTTATTCAGCTGATTACTACCTTTCTGCGACACATAGTATGTGAAATTCATCTCCATTTATCTTCAGTATGTAGTAACACATTTTTAATTCATGTTTAATGCATACGCAGGATCGTAAATTCTGGAAACATCCTGATGTTGTGTATATTTCGAGTAGGTGGTCATGTTACACTAATCATAGTGTCATTGAACAAATCAAACTATCTTTATCTGATAAACAACTTGAGATGTTTAGGAATACATGTTTTGGGTACTTTCTTGACCTTCCAAAATCGAGCACACAACTACAACTTATTCATTGTCTTATAAATAGAGAGTTAAAACACACACCAGATGATGTGTTTTCTATTGAAATAAATAACAAAAAGTTATTTTTTGGTCTTAGAGAATTTGAGATAGTTACGGGCTTAAATTGTGTTGGTGATGGCACATCTATCAATGTTCCCAATTCTAGATGTAGTTTGATGAGTAGTTATTTTCCGAAAAAAATCATAGTTCCAAAGAGTCATCTACGTGCACTGTTTTTAGCTAAAAAATTCATAGATGATGACTCGACTGTGTCATTGGTTGTTCTATACTTCATTAATGATTTTTTATTTTCATATGAGGACAACGAATACCAAATTAGAAATAGAGATTTTTACCTTGTGGAAAGTGGAAAATTCAATTCATATCCGTAGGGTTTAGATGTCTACAAAAAGTTGTATGATTCTGTGAGGCATGAGCTTAAGTCAACACATAAGTACTATAGAATTGGTGGCTTGCCTCTTGCTCTTCAAATTTGGATATTTGAGTGTTGTTCAAAGGTTGATGAAGATATAGCTATTCGTGTTGCTGATTCTATTCCAAGAATCTTGAATTGGAAGACAATTGCAGAAAGTCCATGGTTAAAATATATTGAGAAATGTCTCTTCATGCCTACAAAAAACAAGGTATTTGTACAAAGTTAATATATTTTATTACATTGTTTATTTGAACTCAAGTTACTATATCTAATGTTATTTTGTGTATTTGGTTTTTCAGTTTGAGAACATAGTGGCCAGTGAAGATGAAGAATCCAAATTCAGGCTTCCTGAAACTCGTGATAACGATGCTGAAATTTTGAAATTCGAGCCTAAAGGATCAAGTCATGGTCTAGACATTTTGACCAATGAAGTCATAGAATTGAGAAAAGAGCTTGTAAAAGTATACACAAACTAAACTTTAGGCTTTTTATTTTAAAACTGTTATTTTTTAATATTTTCATTATGATTTAATATCTATTAGGTGAATGAAAATAACAAAGCGCTTGAAGAAAAGATTGATTTAGGATTCAATCAAATCAAAGAATTTGTGGTGAACTCAAACAAACAATTATTGGAGGATATTTCTTTGCTGTTTACTAAGAGTGGTTGTAGCAGCTCTGTTATTCGAGAAGTCAAGAAACCATCTAAGAAGCATGCTGGCGAGACATTTTCAGGTGGATTAGATTTTAATGGAGGTTCGTTTATATTTTCAGTAAATTTCTGTTATATTCATAATATAATTTTAATATATAGTTTAGTATTTTCTTCCAGTTAATCTAGAAGTGACACGAATTTGATATTTCATTTTTCAGTTAACTTTGATATATTTTTTTTATAATATGTTAATTACATATACAACATTTTCTCCCCGTGTTAATGCATCTGTAAATGAATCGAGAGGGAACGATGCTCATGTTATGGGATCAAATCAAAATGAAGAATCTCAAGTGCTTAAAGCTACAATTAGATTTGTTGATGTTGAAAATTTTGAAAGAGTATCAAGTAAAATAGGTAATGAAGGATTTTATACAAATATATTACATATTTCATATATTTTAATTCAATTCTGTTTTTTTAAATGTTCATGTTATGTACAGATGAAGATGTTGCAGGAATTGCTATTGAAAAAGTTCTGTCAGAGGTTGTTGCTGATATAAATGGTATTCATTTTCTTAACTTCAACTAAACTTCTTTCGTTTTATTTTGATAACATTATTAAAATATTTATTTTGCTTACAGTCCAAGAGGCTGCTGATGTGAATACAGTTGGGGCGAAACCTGATGGTAATGTAGTAAAAAAAACCCAACAAAAATAAGTGTTGCATCTGTTGATTGTAAATTAATCAATATATCTATTATATGCAGATGCAACAGAGGATTGTCAAAAACCTTTGCATACTTTTGATGACTTTATTTTACTTGATAAAGATCTTTCTCAGATCAATAGGACTGAAGAATCTTATCTAAAAAAAAGAGCCCAAGTTGATCAAAACAAAAGAAAGTGTCACCGAAGAAACATGGCAGAAAGAAAAATCCAGGAAAGTTAATAACATCTTCCTTCACACAACATTTTGAATCTGGAGGAACTTTATGTGTTGTACGTCAGGTTTTTGAGACAAAACATCCTTTTTTATATGCAACCGGAGGAGATTATGAATCTAATTTGATCGATTCATTCACTAAGTGGCTTTACACGGGTACAAAAAAGAGGTAATTTATTTTGATGTTTTTGGGATAATTTTCCTAATTCATAATATATACAAGCTTAATTCAACTTGTGGAACGCTCTGTACCTCTTTTTTAGTTGTTCCTGTCTCGACTTTGAGTATTTTTTAATTTTTGTTCTGTTTTGATAGGGGAAAGAAACTTTATACAGATGTTCTTAATGTTATCAATTCAGCATTTGAATTGGGTATCTGTACGGTAGATGAAAGACTCTGGTTTTTCAAATTGGCACATTTCGGACAATAATGGTGTGATGAGGTTTTTTATATAAATTTTAGTTGGACTTTAATATTTCTTTGATTTGTTCTGTTTCTTAATCTTGAGTTTGCCTTTGTCTCAACTAAAATTCTTTCTGTTTAGTTGTGTAGATAGATTGTATTTTTCATCTATTGAAGCTCTTTAGTTGTGTGACATTGTAATTCTATAGCTTGCAAGTCATTTTTCTTTCTGTTCTTGTTCCCTTTGTCTCTGTCTTTCAAGAGGGACAAAAGCTCAGGATAATGCGAAAAGGAGGAAACTTGTAATCAAGTTCTTGTCATTTTAGCTTCAATTCTTTTCTTTTGAGGTTCATTGTATCATTAAGAATCCACAAATATGCATATACATGAGCTAGAATATTATATAAAATATGTCAGCTTCAGTAAGTTACTATTGTCTCTATGTTTTTTCTAGTTGAAATTGAACATCTTCATAAGTTCTATCACTGTTCTGTTTCACCAATATGTGATGAATGAGCCACACTTGGGGCGAAATTAGAGTTTTCCCTTAACTTTGAGTTGAAATTTCTGCACTATTCTATCACTGTTCTGTTTCATAAGTTTTTTTTTTGCAGCATATTGATGTCATTTTCTATTACCTAAGAAAGAAAGGAAAATATGAAACCAACAGTAATGTTCGTTTTACGACGACTGATTGTGTTTTCAAGACAAAGATTACCAATTCTTTCTTTAAACTTTGTGATGCTCATGAGGATAAGAAAAATTTTAAAGTTTTAGATTCTGATGATATTACCCGGTATATCAGTGGACGTCGTTTGTTGGCAAGTACCTCGTGGGATAAAGTGGATTTTGTTCTTATTCCACTAAACATTAAAGAGAATTGTCACTGGATTTTTGTGGTGTTTGATATTGGGCAAAGGTCATTGGAGGCGTATGATTCATTTCCGGCTAGGGTGGGGTGAATTTAGAGGTAAAAAATATTGTTGAGATGCTTTCGGTTGTTTTACCATATTATCTAAGTGTGGTTAAGTTCTATGATAAGCGTCTTGAATTGAAGTCAACACCAAAATACAGTGAGATAAATGAGTTCGAGAAAATTGAGTTTCATTTCATAACTAAAGATGTTCCCAGACAAAATGAGGATTCGCTGTAAGTATTATCAAATATGTGTTTTTTTTTTATTAAATTGATATTTTGATAATAATTTTATATTGAATTTTGTAGGGATTGTGGAGTTTCCGTTGCTGCATTTGCGGAGTTTGTAAGTAATGGCCAACATATTCTAAATCAACAAGTAAAGGCAGACATTGTCCGAAAGAGATTTGCAGCTATATTATGGGAATATGCAAGAAGGAAGGAAGCGAGTGACCTTCAAAGTGAAGACGAAAGACCAGTTAGATAAAGGAATATAGTTATATTAGTTAGTATGACTATGAAAACTATATAATGTAATACAATTTGTAGTTACTATGGCTATGAAAAATTGTATTGGTCTATTTTGTAAGTCTTGATATTATATACCTAACTGTGTTGTTTATATGTAAGTCTTCTATTTGAAGTTGTTCCTTCTTTGTGTCCTTATTGATCCTTTCTGTTTGTACTTCCTCTAAGGAATTTTGTCTTTGCAGTTGGAATGCTACATATGTTAGTTTGTTTGGGAGCAACAAGTCGTTGCCCATGTCTATCCCGCTTGTTGGAAGTTTGCTTGATTGAGTTTAAAGAAGTCAATGCTCCTCATACTTCTGTTTGAATGACACTATGAATGCTCATGTAAAACTTGCAGGAAATGGTAGTAAAAAATTGTAATTAAGTTGATTTAAAGTTATAGTTTTATTTGAATATGTAATTTGAGTAGTAAAAAATTGTAATTTTCGAGGTAAACATGAAACCTCAATAAGTTGTGAAAACTATAAAAAAAAGTATGTATTTTTTTTTTGTTGCAAATATATGAACTTCTGTGTTACGTATCGATACTATTTATTTTTTTGAAATCCTATTTTTCTTTATAGAATTAGAACAAGACATTAATCTTAAAATTTCCACAAGTGAATTAAACCTGAATTAAATCTATATTACACAAATGGTAACAATTGAATTAAACCTAAGCTAAAGTTGTATTACACAAATACTAACAAGTGAATTAAACTTTGAATTAAAGCTATATTACAAAGATACTAACAAACCAAAAACATACCAAGCATCACCCAAATTCCCCAACCTGACAAATATACTCAGCAAGACATTTCCAAGCCTCAAGCTCAACTGGGTTATTCCAGTAAACTATATCATTTCATCTATATATCATATAAAATGTAACTATACACATAGAAACATTCCAGTAAACTGAATAACATGAGATTGCACAACTAAGAAAGCATTCTATTAAACTGAATAACATGAGATTGCACAACTAAGAAAGCATTCTATTAAACTGAATAACACGAGATTGCGGAACTAAAAATATAAATCATATAACCGAACATGATCCAAATTCGTAGAGTCAATGAGCTTCTAAAAAAAACTACTAAAATAAATTATTTTTTTATTCTTGATCATAAGGCCTGACATTTTTGCAAGTCTTCCTGTTGTGATCATGTTGTCCACAATTACTGCATGTAATTTCGCCTTCTTGAATCCATCTTCTCTCAGTTTAGTATGTCTTTTATTTTTTGGCCTTCCCGGAGGTCTCTTTCCATGAGGTGGAAGTACAATATCTTCAAGAACATATGTTGATGTGTTCCATGTACTTTCATTTGGCAGGGGATCCATTTGAAATTGATATGTCAACAGTAAATTTTTTCTTGTATAGTAAGCCGAACAATATTTCTCATAACCAGTGTGTTTTATTGTTAAAACGGCCAAAGCATGTGGACATGGTAACTCATCCAATTGAAATATCCCACATGTGCATGTACGTTGGTGAAGACATACTGTGAATTGTGTAATACCATCAAGTACGGTATACACATATTTATTTGTCTCTACAACCTATGAAAAAAAATATATAATCAAGAGAGATGTTAGATATGAATCCGAAGAAAAAATACTAGCAAACAGATTAGGCATACCTTTAATTTCTCTAATGCAGTTTTATTGCGCCGCAATATATTTTCATACTTTTTTCCAAGGTGAAAACCTGAAAATCTCGCCTTTGATCTGTTATTGTTATTCCATTTCTGTACAAGTTGTACTCATGAATTCCAAGAGTTGCAAGACTGTAAGAACTTTGGCATGTCTTGTTCGTGAATTGACTGATTCTGCTATATTTTATGTCATCATCCAAGTTCTGTTTACTTCAGCATGCACACGCGACCATTTGTTGTATCCAATGTTCAACAAGTAATCTTTGATCCTCTTATCTATCTTCTCAATCATTGTCATACATTGATTAAATTCTGTCATGGTGTAAACAACTCAGTGACCCTTTGTTGACTTCTTCTGAATTTTATCATTATGTTTTGCAGTAAGTGCCACATACATGCAAAATGAGGTACTTCATCATAAATTGTTGAAACTGCCTTAATAATGCTTGCATGCCTATCGGAAATGATACACATCTCTGGTCTTTGACCAAATGCATCTCTGAATTGCTCAAAAAACCACCTCCAAGATGAATCATTCTCTGAATCGACAATAGCATAAGCAAGTGGCAATATACTCCCTGCACCATGTACACTTTTTTTAATACAATTTTAATACATTTTTACTGCAATCATAATTCAATTTTAATACATAGTTCAAAAATTCAATATAAAACACAGTATCATATTCGAAAGTCTGACCTGCTGCATCTAAGGTATTAGCAGTTAGCAGTGTCCCTTTGTATGCTCCTTTTAAGAAAGTTCCATAAACAACTACAATTGGTCTACAATATTCACATCCTTTTATCGAGGTGAACAAAGCTACAAACGCATATAAAAAACGTTCATCCTCTGATTTGTGAAATCTTATATGAGAACCAGGGTAAGTCGCCTCTAGTATGTGAAAGTAGCTTGGCAACTTTGCATATGATTGAATTGGATCACCCCGGATTAATTCAAGAGCTGCTTCTTTAGCTCTCCAAGCTTGCATATATGTGAGTCGCACACCATATTCAGCTAACATGTCACGTTGTATGTCTTTTGGTGTGTAATTAGCATCTGGTTCAGCATATTTACCCACAATAATACTCCCAACAACACTCTTAGTTGCTAGCCTTTCCGATAATGAATTATGTAGCAACAAACAAGTGTGTTCGCTTTCAAATTCTCTAATCTTGAACATTTCAGATTTGTTCAAGCTTGAAGCTCGTAAACTCCAACTGCAGCTTTCTCCTAGGCACTGTATCGAATAGTTGTAGAAAAAATATTAATACACAATTAATAATTTAAAGTGACTTGAATTTAGGTCTTACCTTATTGCGCTTGATCTTGTTGTCTTGAATTGAAAATGATTAAGAATGGAATGTCTTTTTAGTGCACTAGTGAGGACATATTTATTCTTATACACCTGATCTTTTTCAAATAAAGAGTGATTGGGATTAATAATGATGTCTGGTGCTAACTCTTCTAGCTCATCAACTTCCTCACATGATCCGAATCCAATTAACCCTATTGCTTCATCAATACCATTAAATGTATTAGAGAAGTATGAATTGTGTATAACCCTCATATCTCCTGAAGTGTGAACACAAAAGTGGAATGAGTGCAACATTAGTCTCCAAGTTGACTGGTTCAGTTGTTGTGACACATAAAGGGTATCTTGTCATATCTCGATGTTCCTTTTTAGTTTCAAGATATATCTTTACCTCCATATCATTATGAATTTGAATTGGAGGAGACATTTCATCAATTTTATATCTGATTTCAACTTTACTTGTTGATGTGTCTATTGACAATTGAGTAGCAATTACAGAAACGAGGGTGGCAAACGTTGACTCTGTGTGTATCAACACACCATCTGCCAAGTAGTTAATATATTTGTTGCTAGGATCCCATCGTCCATTGAAGTAAAGCATCACCGCTATATTAGTCATATTTTTTCTGCACATCATTAAAGAGTGTATTACTATAATTAAAAGACTAGAGAGAGACATATAGATTAATCTGCTAGAAGAGCATCACTTTGCTAACAATTGAATTAAATCTTAATAAAATCTAAATTAAAAATTTATCATACAAATGCTAACAAGTGAATCAAACATGAAAAGAAGTTGTATTACACATATGCTAACAAGTGAATTAAACTGAATTGAAGTTGAATTACACATATGCTAACAAGTGAATTAAACCTCAATTAAAGTTGTAATACACAGATGCTAACAAGTGAACTAAACCTGAATTGAAGTTGAATTACGCAGATGCTAAAAAGTGAATTAAACTTGAATTAAAGTTGTATTACACAGATGTTAACAAGTGAATTAAACCGGAATTAAAGTTGTATTACGCGGATGCTAACAAGTGAACTAAAACTGAATTGAAGTTGTATTACACAAATGCTAACAAGTGAATTAAACATGAATTAAATCTGTATTACACAAATGCTAACAAGTGAATTAAACATGATTTAAAATTGTATTACACAATGCTAACAAGTGAACTAAAACTGAATTGAAGTTGTATTACACAGATGCTAACAAGTGAATTAAACCTGAATTAAAGTTGTATTACACGTGCTAACAAGTCAACTAAAATTAAATTGAAGTTGTACTACACAGATGCTAACAAGTGAATTAAACATGAATTAAAGCTGTATTACACAAATGCTAACAAATGAATTAAACTTGAATTAAAATTGTATTACACAATGCTAACAAGTGAACTAAAACTGAATTGAAGTTGAATTACATAGATGCTAACAAGTGAATTAAACCTGAATTAAAGTTGTATTACACAGATGCTAACAAGTGAACTAAAACTGAATTGAAGTTGTATTACACAGATGCTAACAAGTGAATTAAACTTGAATTAAAGCTGTATTACACAGATGTTAACAAGTGAATTAAACTTGAATTAAAATTGTATTACACAGATGCTAACAAGTGAACTAAAACTGAATTGAAGTTGTATTACACAAATGCTAAAAAGTGAATTAAACCTGAATTAAAGTTGTATTACACAGATGCTAATAAGAGATCATACTTATTAGAGAAGAGAACTGAATATCAGACACTCACAGGAACTTGAATCAAACGAAATCTCAACATAAATCATCAAACAAAAAGGCACACAAGTAACGTAAACATAAATCAAACGAAATCTCAACATAAATCCACACAAAAAGAAGAAAGGCGTAACGATCTGAGCACTGTCAAGACCACAATTGCAAGGTCACATTAAAGGATCAGTTAAGTGCAAAGGAGACCAACAAAAATCGCAGAATGCAGTGCAAGTAACCTAAACTAACAAATCTTACTCAACACTAACCTTTAAATTGCAATGGCGAGAGAAAATTGAAGTCGCCGGAAAAAAGTTGCAATCACGAGAGAGAGAAAAAATTGCAGTTGCGAGAGAGAAGAAAAAATTGCAGTCGCGAGAGAGAAAAAAAAAGGGCAACTTTCACATATAACAAACAAAAAATTCATATTTGTATGCTATAACAAACTTTGCATAATTGCGCTCCATAACAAACATAAAAACTGTATGATTCGCTATACATATACATGTGTATAATTCGCTGGCCTAAAATTGTATAATTCGCTGGCCTAAATTGTATAATTCGCTGGCCTATTTCGCTGCAACTGTATAATTAGCTTTGCATACATTTGAATCGAATTAAAATGTATGTATATTGCATAATTATAAGTGTATAGCAAGAAGATATATGTTTTTCTCGCTTTATACAAAACAGAAACACAATATATACACTTCTGTTGTATAAAGCTAGAAAAAATTGTATTTCACTGCAATTGTATAATTCACAATTGTATAATTCTTTGGCCTTTTTCTCTGCAATATTTGAAGTAAAATGTTTGTAAATTATATAATTAAGTGTATAACACGAAGATATACATTTTTGCTTGTGTATATACAATTTTCTCTCGCTTTATGCAAAACTGAAACAAAAATTATACACTTCTGTGTATAAAGCGAGAGAGGCGAGAATGGGAGAGTGGCGAGCGAGACTTTTAGGAGAGAGACGCCTGGCAAATTTTTGCCAACGTTTGTTATGGAGCACAATTAAATCAAACTCTAGCTATTCCATTTAATTTAGGTTATTAGTTTGCTATTATATACAATTTTCCCCAAAAAAAATTGCAATTGCGGGCGTGGGAAAATTTTGGGGCGAGAGAAAAAATATGAAGTTGAATATTCAATTAAATTGACATTTATGATTAAAAAAATAATACTGACAAATATGATAATTATTTTTAAAAAGTAGCACACAAGTTATTTCCCCAAAAAAAAGAGATCAGGTAAACAGGTCAACCCGGCCCAATAAAATGACTGGATCCTACCTGTAACCTCTCCTTCATTTGTCCCTTGCTCCATGACTCTTCTGCTAACTCAACTTCTCGGTCTACAACGGAGAAACTTATAAACAAATAAAGTAAAGCTCATTGAGATCTTCAAGGAAAGCCGTATTCTTCTTCTTGTTAATCCTGAGATTTTTCTACAGTTCATCTTGATCGCCATTTTGCTGGGAACAAAGCGAACTCCATTTCACCATTTCTCCAACCATAATTGAGCAAAAGAGGCGAGTTATTTCTCTAAACAGTTTGCTCTATCTATATGTTTTTTACTTCTTGCAATTGTGTTGCTGTGTAGTTGATTATCTAACAAATTGGGTCTATGAAAAAAAGGAGAGTAATTCCCTTGCAGGTTTAACTGGATGTTAGTAGCGATCAGCTCTTATTTTGTTTGATTTTCTTTTTTGCTGTTAAATTTCTGTAATTGAAGGGTTTGAATCTGAAACTTTTAGTTTTCTAAGTCTGTAGTGAGGATTAATACTCTTCAGCTTCACATCTGAGTCGTTTAGGAAAATATTATAATTTCATTAGTTGATCTCTGCTATTGCAACTATATATGTTAAAGAATTTCTCTTGCTCACATCTTTGTTCTAGATTGAAATTGGAGTAAAACAGTTGGTTCCTTAATTTTGCTTTACTATGAACATCTTGATGTTACTTGGCTGCTATTTTTGATGTACATGTTGCTATTTGGTGGAGTTTTTTAATGCTTATATTTTGTGTTTCTGCTTTTTTCCTGTTAATAATTGCCCTGATGTTGAGTGATGCGGTGATGATATCTCATCTACTTCCACTGAAGTGGCAGTGTCTAATATTCTCCAGTTGGGAAACAGATCAGATTCTTAAAAGAGGAAGGAATTCACGGCTTTATCTTCTGAAATTGCTACTTTTTGGATATCTGAAAATTTTATTATTCCACCAAATATAGGGTAAACTAAATTTCTGCGACCCTAAGATAAATAGGACAACAAATGTTGTAAATTCTCTACTTTTTGGTATATTTATTGCTTATATACCAGAGATTTTTCCATCTTTAGTAAAAAAATTACCTTAAATAAAAAAGATATATAGGACGAAGGAATTTGCAATCCTAGATATTCTAAGAGAAAGGATGATACAGAAACCAGCTTAAAAGGTGGGAAGGAACAATGGCGTATTGCACTTTAGCAGCTCGGAGTATGTGCCCAGTGCCTTAAACCGGAACCTATATTGAGATGTATGTAAATAAGAAGGAGAAGGCGATGCTGCTAAAGATGGTCTTATGATTTACAAAGCTATGCTGTCACTTATCTGTCCATCTAGACATTTCAACATTATGTATTTAGATAAGAAGTAAATGGAGCCCTTTGATTCCCAATCGAGACTTTCAATAGTATTAAAATCATTTCTATTTCTTCCATCAAAATGACCATAACATGTAAAGGGGTTCCAATGCATTTCTTTTGTCCTTGCTCGCCACATGCCATTTTCTACTATCACCAACATGTCATGTGCACATACTTCTTGGTGTTGAGAGCTTATATCAAGGGGACTTTTTGTGTCTTTCACTTCACACGTTGAGAGATGATTAAAAGTGAAAATTGAGATAGTCCATCGGCAGAGTCTTTGACACTGAGTGAATAAGTCACATTCAAAGTTTGCTTCTAACATGAGATTATTGAACTTGGAGAACTCAATTTCCCTCAATAATTCCTCTCCATAGTCCACTACATTACTTACCCAAAAGAAGAAGAAGAAAACTCTACATACTCCACTAACTTAGATGTAGAAAAAGCTAAAGAATGGCAATCATATGTTTTAGCCACGTAGTACATTGCAACTACTCCCCTCCACTTACTCTCTGTTTGTTGGAGGATATCCAAAATCATCAACAATCACTTCCCTACTTGAAGGATGACAGAATCTAATGCCCGAATTACCCACTGTGAGGAGAGTATTGTCTTCACTCTACTGTTAAGTAATATCACTTTTCCCTTCTGTTATTCTAGAGGAATTTTCATTATTACTTTTTCACACGTAGGTCTGCACAAGGTTGACTTACTTTTGCTAGAAAGGTATGATTTTCCCAAGGCAGCCATCATTCTGCCAAAATTTGAACTCATAGGAACCAAAACCTTAGTGCTGCATCTTGAGCCTAGAAGGAGATGCAGATACTCACAACCCCTAAAAGATTAGCAAGATTTTGGATATTTGAATCATCATTAATCAGAATGAACGTTATGTTATGTGTATGACACGCAATCTCAACGCCACTCTGATGCAACATTAAGTGCCATTCAGCATTTGTACTCATCTAAAGTATAGGAAGTATGCGTTGTTAGCGAAAAAGTACATAGAAGATGGATATCAGATTTCCGCAATCCTCAATCTTGGGACAATACATTGTTCAATGTTCATCTTTGGCTTGTAAATTAGAGAGAAATCTGTCGACAATGGCTTCTTCAACATCTTGCTCAAGACTTATAATAAATAGAATAAGCTAAAGAAGCATAGGCTAAAAAAAGATAAACTCTTACATCTCAGAGGAGTATTACTAACTTTTGAGGTTTTATCAGGTTTGTAAATGAACCAAGAATAATGTGTTTAGTATAAGTGTTGAGCATTGTATTGATGATCTGACAGATGTTATGGGCTGTATGGTGGAACAACTACCAACCATCTATTTAGGCCTACCACCTGTAGGCAAACAGAATTCAAAGATGTGATAGGGGGCCTGGATAGGTGTAGCAGTAAACTGGTGTCACGGGAGATAAAATTTATCTTTTGGGGGTTGACATGCACTAATCAACAGTGTCATGGATGGTGTACCGACTTATTTGATGTCTCTCATAAAATGCCAACAGCAGTGGAGAAGAAGTTGAGTACTAAGAGGTAGCAATTTCTATGGGAAGGCAATGTTGATAACAAAAGTTCCATTTGGTCAAATGAAAGAAAACCAAAAAAAAAAAGGCAGAGGGGACTCTTTCTCCCTGCTAACTCATCGGATGAGAAGTAGGTCCCTTGTTTTTGGCAGGAAGAGTTCCAAGAGGGGATGAGAGTGAGGAATCTAAAGTTGCATAGCCAAAGCCTTTTATTTAAATGGCTTTGGAGTTATAATGATGAAAGCGAAAATCATGGAAACAGTTGATAGATGCTGAGTGTGATTGGAAATACATGTGGGCTCCATGCTCAGTAATTTCTTTTAAGTGGGGAGTGTGGTGCACAATCAGTAATGTAATGAATCAATATAATCAGTTTGTGAAACTGAATCTAGGGAATGTTAATAATGCCCAACTCTTGTCTGATATATGTCTGGGAAGTGAAAGTTTTAGATCAAAGTTCTTTGTTTTGTATAGCTGCTCCACAAACAAAATGAAAGGTATCTGACTTGTACTAAAGCATTGGTTGACAACTTATATTTAGGGGGAGGGTCTCTCAATGGGAAGTATATGAATTTGCTCAATTGATGCAATTATTGGACACTGTAAGATTGGAGCTGTGTTGTCGAAGGCACGCTTAAGTCTAGAAGCGAGGCTCAAAATGTGTTGAGTGCTTCGCCTCGCTTAATGTGTGCTTCAGTGTCATCATCAACGTTTTGAGACACACTTCTCCTTGCCAATGAGTTTCTTCAGAAGAAGCGACCCTAAACAATTGATATTTCACTTTATCCTAATTCTTTTTTAATATTTCTTTGGTCATATATTTGTCATTCATGCTTATGATTATTAGTTTTGAACTAACATATTGAGTCTCCATTTGCGCCCTTTTTTCATTAAAGCTCACTCTTCATTTGCGGTTTGCACTCAAAGCCCCAACAAGCCTCAGAGCTTTTTTTGCACTTTTTGCATTTGATGAAACTAGATTGGAGGACAACATGAGAGACTCATTAACCTGGGAAGCAAGCAATGATGGTATTTTGATGGTCAACTGCTGCTATAGTCTGTTACAAAAATAACAAGGGCTTTAGCACAATCAGTAATTTATGGAAATCCAAAAGCATCAGTTAAAGTTGCTTGTTTTAGTTGGATTGCAACAAAGGAAGCTTGCATAACTTAGGAGAACTTGCATTAGAGAGGAAGTATTCTATGTAATAGGGGTTACATGTGAAAAGAGGCAGAGACGATTAATCATATAATCATTCATTGCAAAGTGGCAAGACAGTGTTGAGAGATCTTCCTAAACATAGATGGTGTCAAGTGGGAAATGTCTTCGGGTATAAAGAGTTTGTGGGAGACATGGCAACACCAAACAATGGCAGAAAACAAAAGATAGTATGGAGAAAAATTTCTCTGTTTTTTATGGACAATATGGTTGGAAAGAAATAGAAGTTTCTTTGAAGGGTAAAGGCATCATGTATCCGGGATAAAAAATAGATGCTTATTAACTTCGTATGTATGGTATAAAAGACATGTTATAGAAAATATGGAACAATATATGTTTTTTCTGGAGTGGATGGGAGGAATGTAGTTACCTTGTTGTGGTTATTGCTGTTTTTTTTTTGCTCCATATTGGTAAAGAAATAAAATAAAGAATATTGTCTCAAAGCCAAGAGAAACTAAAGGAACCTTTAGAAGCTATACAAGAAAAGGGTATCCTTGCAAAGCCAAGATCAACTAAATTAACCGATTGCGACAACTACGAACCCCATAATTAGTTTTGTTACTAATACTAACTAATAGGCTTTCAAAAGCTTTTCCATACAAATTGGGAGGAATCACTTGCTAGGCATGCGGTTGGTAATTAGTTTGAAGGATAAGATACAAGCTTACTCCAACCAGACTATATTTGACAATGCCGATGGATCTTACAACTTTGGTGGGCATTGTCAATTACATGGTCATATGCCATTTCAGCTTTCCATCTCCATTATTTCTATTTTTTTTGAAACCGAAAAATTCGTCTGTGACCACTCATCCTTTGGACCAATCAGAACCTTCTATTTTTATAATAATACTAAGTACGAAACAACAAGAATGACAAACCCAGTGTAATCTCACAAGTGGGATTTGTAGAGGGTAAGATATATGCAACCTCATCCCTACCTTTATAAGGTAGAGAGGCTGCTTCGGATTGACCACCCTCCTCCTTTATCCTGGCTTGGGACCGCAATATGAGCGAGCTCACATTGGCGAAATTTTTATAATAATAGCAAGTGCCACTGATATTTAATGTTGTGATTTTGCTTTGCAACCAGCATGTGAGTTTGATTGTTATGACTTATTTTGGCTGTTGCGAACATAATATCCTGTTAGCGACAAGGGCTGTTTCAAGTCTTCCTTTTATGTATCACCTTGGAATTTCTTCGAACTAGGAATAGGCCTATAGATTTGTTAGATGCTTTTTAAGAACGTGTATCATTACCATCCTACCAATACAGAGGGTGAAAATGAAGCATTGCAAGCAGATTTTGAGGAACAAGAAGTACTTTAGTGTTTAAAAATGTGTGCTATAGACAAAGCCCTTGTCCTGATGGATACACAATGTTTTTTTTAAATGGTGGGAGATCATTAAACATGACATTATGGGAATTTCCACATTTTTGCTCAACAAGGATGTTTGAAAAGAGCTATAATGCAACCAACATAACACTGATTCCTAAGAAGATAGGAGCAAAGGAACTCAATGACTTCAGACTCATCAGCTCATTGGAAGCTTCTATAAGCTAGTCCAAGGTTTTGACAGAAAGGTTGAAGAGAGTTGTGGATAAGTTGGCAGACAAACAACAGATGGCTTTTATTAGACGTATACTGGATGCAGTGCTTATAGCTAACAAAGCAATTGATTCTAGAATGTCCCAAAAGAAACCTGTATACTATGCAAACTTGATATTGAGAAAGCGTATCACCATGTGAATTAGGTTTTCATCCTATGTATGTTGACACAGATGGGATTTGGTAGCAAATCGATCCTTTGGATCAAGTTTTGTATTTCAACTGTTAAGTTTTTGGTACTCATCAATGGATCTCCTGAAGGCTTTCTCTATGCACAGAGAGGAATCAGGCAAGGGGATCCCTTATCACCCTTCCTGTTCATCATAGCTATGGAGGGACTTAACAATATGTTGAAGATATCCAAGACAACAAGAAGAATACAAGAATTTGAAGTCAGTTCGGTTGCTGGGAATTGTGTGGAGATCTCACACCTGCAATATGCTGAAGATACACTAATAATTTGTGGGCTAAGGAGGAGCAATTGCTAATTTTGAGACTTATACTAGTTTACTTTGAAGCCATATTTGGACTAGATATAAACTGGAACAAAAGCCATTTGTATTCGATTAATGTGGCTCTAGATATGCAAACACCTCTCACGGAACTTGGGAGGAGGAGTGATAGGTACTCTGCCATCTGTATACTTGGGCATGCCTTCGGTGGCAAAGTCTGGATACGTAGACATTTGGAACACAATATTGGAGAAATGTGAAAAGAAACTAGCTAGATGGAGATCACTATACCTCTCTTTTGGAGGTAAATTAACTTTGATAAACTCTGTTCTAAATGCTCTCCCTACATTTATGTTATCTATCTTCCATATTCCCTAGTCAGTAGTTCAGAAGTTGGACAAGATTAGAAAACTTCTCGTGGCAAGGAAATAAGGAAAGGGAAGACTTTCACTTAGTCAAGTGGAAGAACATCATCAGAAGTAAGATTCAAGGTGGATTAGGTAGCAAGAATCTCAAAGACCATAACATAGCTCTTAAGATGAAATGGTTATGGAGGTACCATCAGGAGGATCAAGCACTATGGTATAGGGTGATCAACAACAAGTATGAGGAGCTGAATAAGTGGGTAACAAAAGAGGTAAATACCCCCTGTGGGATTAGCCTTTGGAAATTCATCAGAATATTTTGGCCTTCAAGGTAGTTACAAGATGAAAGAAGGATACAAACAAATAAGTCTTGGTGGCATTCAAGGCTTCAAATGGCCTTGGAAGCAAATCTGGAGGATCAAAGTGCCACACAAAGTGGCATGGTTTACATGTCTACTACCCACTGAAGCAGTTTTGACATTGGATAATTTGGCCAAGAGAGGAATCTCTCTATGCAACAGACATTCCTTATGTGGTAAGGCTAATGTGACAGTGAGATATCTCTTCTTACATTGCAACTTTACTGAGCAGCTATGGCAGATTTTCCTTAATCTCAGAGGCATATCTTGGAGTATGCCTAGCTATATCGATGAGATTCTGTTCAATTGGGAGATGGCTGGAGTTGGGGCAACAAATAGAGAAAGATAGAGGATGATCCCTGCTTGTTTTTGGTGGACTATATAGAGGGAGAGAAACGATAGATGTTTTGAGAATAGGAGACAACCTGCAGGAAGTAAAGGTTAAGTGTATTTTGTTGTTTTGCTTTAGGTGTACAAATGTCTACTTCAAAGAAAGTGAGTCAATCATAGATGTTTTAGGGTCCGTTCTGATTTTGTTCAGTTTTTGGATAGATTATACTTCCTTTCTGCTTTTGTAAATATGGTTTTCCAGTACTACCTAAGTACTATATGAAATACAAATGTTACCAGTTTCAAAAAAGATCACATGTATCATTGATATCCATAACATCAGGATGAGTGCTGTAAGGTAGAATAAACTGCTATAAGGTATTGGTTGTTTTAAATGAGACATCAGAATTTAGTTGAAGGTGATGTAAGAACAAATATCGGGCCCTGCTCAGTGAGGAGTTATTGTTGTACATTTCTAGTTTGAGAAATCTAGTTTCCTTCCTCTATTAGTTTAAATCCCCATGGTGCCAAGAAAGATGAATTTTGTTTGCTTGGTTGGCGGTTAGAGGTTTGATTCTGATGGTTGAAAACTTGAGAAAGAGTAGGATTCCGATTACATATGTTGGTTTGTGCTCAAGGGTAAACACTTAGAAGAGGATGTGGATCATCTCTTATTGAATTGTCAGGGAGCATCACGAGTATGGGTGGAAGATCTCAAGATAGTTCATGATACAATGGACTATGCCAGGTACTAGACATGGCTTGTTGTTTCATTAGCACTCTTATGGACAGTTTGGAGGGAGAGAAATAAGAGTTTTTGTAGGGAAAGAGCTTGATTTTGTACATTTGGGGTTATCTCATGTTTTTAATGTCTTTTGCTTGCACCTATGAAGTTCCCATTTCTGTAGAATATTGGATGTCTTTCGTAGAGAATCATATCTTTTTATATTCGTTACTTTTTTGGGTAGACCTCTCATATACTGGAGTTTTTCGCCCTTATTAATAAAATTAGAATTTAATCGGTAGTAAAGTGTCCCTGCCAGTATAAGGTTAGTCTAGAGCAGATCTATTAGTTAATGGAAATGGCAAATATGCACACTAATATCTCATCTGAGTTTTGATTTTGTATGAAATTGCTGAAAGTCTTGCGGCTTTTGTTTTTCCCTAGCATAATTTATATTAGTAAAATTCACTTTTTTTTGTTGCTTCCTTTTTCTTTGTTAGTTGTCTGTCATATAGCTGTTTTCAATGAACAAATGAGGACTGATCACAGTTCTTCTGTTGTACACCAACTTTATGCTACTTTTTAACTTTGTTTTCCTGCTTGTAAAATGATTACAATCCAGTTATTAAGTGAGGATGACAGAGATAATTTCTGGTTCCATTTTCTTTTGACTTAGAATAGATGAGAGAGACAAGAGATGGAATGAAGGCTGACAGGTTTTCAAGATCTGCATCTGCCGACTCTGATCCGCTTGTTCTTGACATAGATGATTTTAAGGTGATCCCTTGGATACCATTTAATTTGACTGGAAGATTATGCCAACTTAAGCTTTAGAAATTTTGTAGTTAACTGACAGCAATGTGCTCTATTTACTAAATGCAGGGGGCTTTCTCCTTTGATGGCTTGTTTGGTAACTTGGTGAATGAGATATTGCCTTCTTATCAAGAAGAAGAATCAGATTCCGCGGAAGGGCATGGAAATGGTGTTGGGAGTGATGCTCTACCAAATGGGAATTTGCGAGCACCACCAGATGCGGGAAAGTCAGCACAAGGACTGTCAAGTCCCCTATTCCCTGAAGTTAATGCTTTATTATCCTTATTTAAGAATTCTTGTAAACAATTGGTCGATCTCAGAAAACAGGTATGGTAAAGCATTATATGTGGATTCAGTGAGATAATACTTTTGCTGATGACTTTTATTCTAATCCCCTCATATTTAATCAAAGGTTGATGAGAACCTTAGTGATCTTAAAAAGGAAGTTGTTGTCCAAGATTCAGAGCACCGGAAGACACTTTCTGAGGTTAGTGTATTGAATTCAGTATCATGGCCATTATGAGATGAAGTTAATATTTCAGTCACCGGAAATATTTTTTCTGGAAAATATGTTTGTAATAAGTTACCTCATTGTGTTGTACTCTGCCCCATAGTAAGTGTCTTGATAGAATAAATAATGACAAAATGATTTTGAGTAACATTTTAAATCACAGCATGTATGGGTCTGTTTTCAATTTATTTCTGAAATTTGTTTTATGAAATGAGAGTTGATCCACTTGTTTCGATTGGTGTCTCTTTCTTCCCTGTGTACTTACTTCCAAAGGTGTCCAATATCCTTCATGCTGCGTTGAGCTTCTTTTTACCTAAGGCCTCAAGTTTAAGACCATTGCATTGTGCAGCTGGAAAAAGGTGTAGACGGATTGTTTGATAGCTTTGCACGGTTGGACTTGCGTATATCTAGTGTGGGTCAGACGGCTGCCAAAATAGGAGATCATCTACAGGTATAGCTGCTAAATACCTTCTTTGTATTTTGAAAGTCTAGTAAGCACTTGTTTTGATGCTTGATTAAGGTTAATGTTTATTTTATGGTCAAGTTCAACTTGTTTTTTCTTCCAGAAATATTCTTCCTCTTTTACTTTGTGTTTCTCTTACTGATAATGAAATGCCTACTTTTATGAGTAGAACGAAAGAGAATCTTTTGCTCAACTCCATAATTTTTATGTTGATCTGTTTCCCAAGCTGTTTAAGACCATGTCATCACAGAATGCTGTTAGTATTTTCAGAATATATTGAATCTCCTTTTGTGTTCAGAGTGCAGATGCTCAGAGAGAAGTTGCTAGTCAGACGATAGAGCTTATAAAGGTAAACTTTACTGGCTAACTTCTTGGTTATCAAAAGAACTTCTGACTTACTTCCGCCATTCTGTAAAACAAGTTCTATCCTCATTTTAAAACTGACAGTATTAGTTGCTTCCTTTGATAGTACTTGATGGAGTTCAATGGCAGTCCAGGAGACCTGATGGAACTTTCTCCTTTATTTTCTGATGATAGTCGTGTTGCGGAAGCTGCTTCGATTGCTCAAAAATTAAGTGAGATCCATATGCTTCCTCGATATTCTCATGTTGTAAACATTACAATTGCTTTACCTAAATTTTTCCATGATTGTTTCAGCTGTCAATTGTATTAACTCCTTGTGTTTATCTACTAGTCAATGTATAAAGTGAGGAAAATCACCTGCTTCTTAGTTTTAAGAAAGATGCCAACATGTCATTAGCCTTTTTTTCCCCTTGAAATTCTAATTTACAGTTTATATAGTAGACTTCAAATTTAGAGTTCCATAGCAGTGTCCTGACTCTAACCTCTACATTTTCTCTCTAGCTTATCTTTGTCCTCTTTATTTTCATGTTCAGTTCCTTTTTCCTAAAAATGAAAAAAATCAGCAATGCATAGAGCAGCCTGAAGCAGGGTTCTCTCTTTCCTGTGTAGACCCTGGATTTAGATTTTCCTTCCTTGACTACCCAAAACTAACACTTTGTCTTCTCATGAGGTTTCCAAGGCATAAGATCTGTATCTCTGTATTATCATCTCATAATCATACGAGACTTTGTGAACGACAAATCATTTTGGCCCAGTGCCTTAAAATGTGTAACGGTTTGCATTCTGCAGATGTTTTCCATTACTGAGGGATTTGTCATATTTATGGTAAATAGCATAATAGAATAGCTGATGCGAAAATCCTGCTGCTTGTTTTCCTTTTTATGTTCTCTTTTCAGGATTGGGCGGGCTAGAGATGAATCCCGGATTTCAAGACAACGGTTGCACCATTGTTTAAAGATTAAATATAAATTTCAAAGGAACAATTGGATTAGAGGATTTATATCTTTTGTTTTTTCATAAAAAAAAAACTAAGTTATTATGACAACAACTTGGCGAGCAAATAATAATTACATTATCACAAAAATGTCATCGGAGAAATTAAAAAAACAAAAGTGAAGGGGGCAGTTTTATAAGGAAGGCTGCTCTAGATTTTTTTTTTTCTAAAAAAACAAATGGCAGTAAGTGGGATTCGATCCCTTGACTTGATGGAGTTAAGACTTGGTCTCAACCAGTGAACCTCTCAATCTCTTTTGATCGTGCCTTCAGATAATACTAGATATATTTAAGTATTGTAACAAATAATATATCTATTTCAGTCAGATGACCATGGTTTCATGTGACTCTTTTCTTACACATAAATTCTCCATCGGAGGAACATCTGAGAGTGGTATAGTGTGACAGTTTGATTTTGCAGGTTCTGGTCTGTGACCCATTGTCTCAATCACTATTCATTCTTTTTTATTGCTCGTATTACTTTAGATTTAGTTTTTTAATATCTTAATTCTACTGAGGCATGCACTTTACACAATGCTCTTTTTTGTTTGAGGATTTCTTATCCTTCCCTTCCGTGATGTTCCTCTTTAGATAAAAGAAATGGACTCGACTTTGATTTCTTTCTTGGTATACAAGAGTGTAACAATAGTGTATTCCTTTGGTTGCAGTTACATTCATTAATATTCTTCTTTTCCAGGGATCTTCACGTTAGGACTTCTTTTCTTCATTTTCCTTGATTTTTATGAAGAGTTACATATCTTTCCACATACATATTAGGATCATTTGCTGAGGATGATATTGGAGGACAAGCCATGACCATCTCAGCTGTCGGTAATGCAACTGCGAGTAGAGGACTGGAAGTTGCTGTTGCCAATCTCCAAGAATACTGCAATGGTACATAATCAGGAACTTATTTCTCCATCTACCACTTCTACTTGTTTTATCTTGTTAGAACTGTAAGACAGATTTTAAAGACCTCGAACCCTCCAATTGCTGTTCTACTTAATAAGTGCAGTAAGCATTTTTGTAAAGGAACAGGGTACTTGATTGAACTCCATACCATAGATTAAGTGGTTGAGTAAAGGAAGTAAATCTATCACTATAAATGTCAGATATGAAGCTTAAAAACCCTATGAACGATTCTTCCAATTTTTGAGATAAGCACTTAGTGACTATGGTTCAATCCTTTTTACTGTCCTGGGTTTTTTTTTTTGATGTCTGGACTGGAGCCAACCTATTAGGCCTACTGCAGCCCCAGAAACTCGGAGAGGATGGGCCTGCACTCTACCCGTCTCCACTTAAACACCAGAACTAGTTCACTTGGCGCAAGGCTCAAACTTGTGGCCTAAGACACTAGTCCCTCAGGCTCAACCTTTGCCAATTGAACTGAACTCCTGTGGGGTTCAATTGGCAAATACTGTCCTGAGTTGCTCTAGTCTTTTTGTAAGTGAAGTGTTTTATAGTTTGTTTTGATTTTGGCAAGGGTTGTTTGGTGCAGGAATTTGTGAAAGCTTCAGTTAGGTACATCAATGCCACTAGCTCAGTAACCTAATGAGAGTAACTATACTGATACATAGTTCCATTTCAGTATCTTAGATTGGCTGTTACATACTTGTAAGGGTAGATTACTAGAGATCATATCTCATGGTCCAACTTTTGTGATATAATTAAGGTCTGAGTAACATTTATGCAGGTTGTTGCGTAAGGAAATTTTGAGTATTTGAATGCTTGAACCCCATGATTAGTTGTATAAAGCATTAATGTTCATTGAAGTGTGTTAAAACATATTTGAACATCTCAAAACCTGAAATTTATATTATAAAACTAGTGATCGAGGGACAAGAATTTAGATTGCAAGGTCAAAACATGAGGATAAGGTAGGGATAGCCTAGTAGAGAGTATTCTCCACCTTCGACCTTGAGGGTGGTGTTCCCGTCACCAAGGAAAGAAGTGGGAAAGATAAGAGTAGTGTTGTGAAAAGCCCGCTTCAAGTCGAGGCACTACCAGTGCGCTTCTTTCTCCTGAGGCGATGTGATCTGAAAAAGGCGCTCGGTTCAGATAAAGAAGCGAGAAGCGACAGTATGGAAAAAGCGCAATAAAGCGCGCTTTTTATAAAAAAGCGACAATTAGTTTTTTTTTAAAAAATAGTTTTTTTTTAAAAAATTTCTGAAATAGATACGACTTAATTTTCTTTCACGACTTTACTCTTCTTTCGCTGCTTCTCTTCTTCACGACCGCGACTGCTCTCTCTTCACCAGCTTCATCTGATCGGTGAGTTTCTTTTCTCTTCGATATGCTTCTCCTCTTGCTGCTCTTTTTATTTTTCCCTTTTCTCCTCTTTGGGTAATGCAAACAGGACTCTTCTTTGCTGTAGTTTTTGATTTTTTGCTTTATATGTTATGACTTATGAGTATTATTGACTATCTATTTTCATTAAATCTAAGACTATATTACCTCTATTCAGTTATTAATATATTTTTATTTTTATACTAAATGTCCCTCTTTTAAAAAAAATCGCGCTTCGCTTCACGCTTCTCGCTTCTGTGAAGCGAGCCCTCGCCGCTTTTTTTCACTTCTCGCTTCCCAAAACACTGGATAAGAGGGGGTCTGTGACAAAGGAGTCAGGTTTACCAAGTGTAAAACGAAAGAGAAAAAGACACAGAATTTCATGACCTGTGACCAGTGTGTAACTTTAAATAGTACAATGTTCAAAGCTTAATTGAAGAAAAAAAATCACGGTTCATGAAAAGTATATAAGAAATTTGGAATTTATTGAAAAAATAGTGAGATATACCAAGTGATGAGTGGATAGCTAAGACAGAAGGAAACTAGACTTGGGTTGTTAACTTAGGAAAGCCTTTCTGTGAGCTATTTGGGTTTGAGCCATGTTGGTTTTTATTTATTTACTTATTCATTTTAATTTAGAATAGAATTATTAACTCAAATATAACTATTTTAATTGTTTATGTGCTAGGTTAAATTTGAGTAGCTTGTCGAACACTAGAGCTATGTATTCAGTTAAAGGAATTCTTTGAGCTTTATCCTGTTTTATTTCCTTTATTCGTGTTCCTTGTTTTTGGTTTGTGAGATTTCTTTTTTTAATTTGTTTCGAGAAACAACTTCTGATAGGTAAGGTTTTGCAGCGGATACTCACGGCTGCATAATGAAAAGTGATATTAACCTGCACCTTGCAAAATGCTTCTTCAAACTTTTAGCTCTCCTTTGATGGTCACTTACATTGGTTGACACTGTTGATGCTCTGTATATTGTGATTTATTTGAAATCCCCTGGATCTACCTTTAGTAGCTTTACCAAAGGCCTTGAATGCAAAACATGACACCACATCTCTAGCACTTATTTCTTATGATGAGAAATCCATCTAGAGACAACTCTTTGGGCCAATCACAACAACAACAACATCAACAACATACCTAGTGTGATCCCACAAGTAGGATCTCATAAGGGTGGGGTTTACGCATACCTTACCCCTAACTTTGCGGGGTCGAGAGGTTGTTTCTGATAGACCCTCGACTCAAGAAAAACATTTTTCTAAACAGTTTTGAGAAATACACGAGTAAAACAAGCTATGTTGAAAATATCGAAGAAAAAATCTATTTATAGCAAAAAGAGTAAAGATAACCAAAGAAAAATAAACAACAATAGTGTTAGAATTGAAGAGTAAGAAAATGGTAGAATGATACTAATAACACCATGATTGACTAGAACCATCCTCTGACCCAGAGAAAAGAGAGAAACTGCTTGACTACCTACGAACCTTCTACCTTAATCCTTGAACTTCATGCCCTCCTAACTAGGATCATATCCTTAATGAGTTGTAGATGTGCCATGTTATGTGTAATCACCTCTCTCCTATTCTTCCTCGGAGTACCTATGCCTCTCTTTAGAACTATGGCCGTCAACCTCTAGCACCCCCTTACTGGGGCATCTGTGCTCCTCCTCTTCACATGCCCAAACCATCTGAGTCTTGCTTCCCACATCTCCACCATGAAGGCCAACCCCACCTTGCCCGGTATATCCTCGTTCCTAATCTTGTCTCTTACTGTGCCCACATATCCATCTAAGCATCCTCATTTTTCACTACTTCCATTTTCTGGACGTTTGAGTTCTTGACTGGCAAACACTTTGCTCCATACAACATAGTTGGCCTGACAACCATTCCATAAACTTACCTTTAAGTCCCAACACTTGGTGGTGCATTCTCAAAACATAGGACACCAAATGCCAATGTATCTTTCCACTTGTCTAATCTTGATCGACATGAGGACAAATTAGAGTAACCCTAGAGTTGTGTTGGTTGGAGTTAGCAGTTTGGATAATCTAGGTGCCAACAAGTTAACCCCTATAATACTGTTATTAACCAAAAGAAAAAGGGCAAAGAGAAAAGAAGTTGATAAATATATGCATTGAGGTATGCCTTCTCAAAAATTATTTGTAGGCACATGTCTTCTCAAAATATATATATGTATGAGGTATGCTAATAATGACCCCTTAAAAGTCAGAATTGATGTAGTTCAGAGTGCTAGTGTTTTTTTTCAATAAGTGCACAACAAAATTGACAGATCTTAATTTTTATGCATCTGTTTTAACCATATATTTTTTGAAATTGGTAACCGTTCTCTGTTTTAACCATATAATTGGAAGTGATATTGGTATGAACTGAGATAGAAACCATTATATGAAGTCTGTCATTTCTTTTATGCGTTTTTTATGAGTCGGACACATGCTACCACAATTTAAGATCTGTCTTAGGTGGTACTAGGGAAGGTTTCTGCTGTTAATGTTCTCCTGTGTTTGGCAGTTACTTCTTTTATTCTTGTTTTCCTTAGACTTAGTTGTTGTTTTGTTTACATTAGGTTTGATCATTAAGTCTTGCTATTCTATTTAAAGTCATATATGTACATGTAAGAATAAGTGAGAATTAGAAAACCTCTAGATATTAACCCATAATTTCCCTAGGAAACAAGTTATCTACCGATCTTGCATGCGAAAGAAATAGACCTGATAGAATGGAGTAAATACAGAGCATTGGTAAAGTTGACACCAACTAATTTAGAATTTGGACGTAGTTGATTGATTGATAGTACATATGGTATTCACGATTTGTAGAATGATGACGTTGAGAAAATAACATTTATAGAAACTGTGGCAACTTTCTGATAAAAAGAAAGAAGTGAGAACTCTCATTATCCATACTTAATTTTCTTCCTTGCCTTTTACTTACAATTCAATAGAGTTTGCTTTCTTGTTAAAAGACATCTTAAGTTTTCTTCTTATTTTGTGGCTGTAGAGCTGGAAAACAGATTACTATCTCGATTTGATTTGGCTTCACAGAAACGTGAGCTGTCTACAATGCGGGAATGCGCTAAAATTTTGTCACAGGTAAACAAGTAAATTATGTAGACGTAGCAGTTCCTTGGGTGAAATCTCCATGTGTAAATTTGTTCCACGGAACAACTGTGATAAGGTGCAGCTGATCATGATTTTTGTAAAAAAGGAAGTTTACAGATAACATAGAGCTTTATGAGAATTGTTCTTTACCTTTTCCTCTAGATAATGTTGGTTGCTTCCCTTTTAAGTGACATCTGAAACTTTTGTTGTTTACTTAGAATTCAGTATCGGATTCTAGTTTATATACATTGAGAAACTTTTTCTTATTTATATTGACATATTAATGTTGGAAATCAGTTTAACCGGGGTACCAGTGCTATGCAACACTATGTGGGATTATGTCCAATGTTCGATCTGGAGGTCATGAATGCAGATGCTGAATTGGTTCTTGGAGATCAGGGTGCACAACCCAGCCCTAGCAATGTTGCACGTGGTCTTTCTTCAATTTTTAAAGAGATTACAGGTTATAAAAACTGAAATTGTTCTGAATCGAAGAGTGGTTTTCTTTTCAATTCATGCCTCTTGATGCCTCGGATTTAATTTCAGAGACAGTGCGCAAAGAAGCAGCCACAATAGCAGCTGTTTTTCCGTCCCCAAATGATGTAATGTCAATACTAGTTCAGGTATGATTGTACTATTACTGGCGTTGTGCTTGAGGTAGTCAGTTGTTGAATTATCTTCTTCTGGTGTGATGGTGCATGCCTGTAATAAAACAAGTTAGCTCAGAATATGGGCAGAGTGATTTTGCTAAACTTTTTCTTGCTAGATGACTTAGCATACTAATGAATATTTACTGTTTTTTCTGAACATTGTTCCTTATAGATGTTTTGAGCTTCCTCTAAGCCATATTCTATTTTCTATTGATTCTGGTGTTGCCGTTCAAGTTAAAATGATTGCCAAATGTGTCACTGTAAAAATTGTATTGTGAATTGTTATATAATGACTAATCCATGGTGGTTGTTCAGCGTGTCTTGGAGGATCGTGTTCCAAAGCTACTTGAGAAACTCTTACTGAAACCGTCTCTTGTTAGTCCACCTGCCATGGAAGAAGGAGGACTTATATTAGTGAGTAACATGACAAGGAATTTTCTTCTGTTCGCACAGTCCTTGAGGGAAAAACATGAGCCACTAATTTATCCTTTTTTATTCATTTTTGTGCATTCAGTATCTCAGATTGCTAGCCGTGGCATATGAGAAGACACAAGAGCTAGCTAGGGACTTGCGTGGTGTAGGGTGTGGCGACCTGGATGTTGAAGGTAGAAATACTTTCCATCATCTCATCGTTGCAAACATCTGGTTGAATTTTTATTGTGTAAATGTGATAGAGATTCAAGTGAAAGATACAAAGATCTGCATATAACTGCTTTTTATTTGGACCAAATATTGCTCCAAAATAATATTTTGAGATGCACCTTTATGGAGACATGTACAAGCCCCAAAACTTTTTGTTAGTGTCGTGACTCGAAATCTCTTTGTGAACTAAGATGAGGAAACAATAAGGGATGTGACAAATGTCTTAAAGCGCTACACTAGAAGGTATTGCTATTGATGTAAAAAAAAAAAGATTTACCCCAATTCACTTGCAGACAGTTCATTTTTCTCGTCTCAAGGAAGTGAAAAAACACTGAGGATTGCTGGAAAACAACTAAAAGTAGCAGAAGAATAAGCAGCTAATAAGTTTGATCTACTAGGCTGTGAAAAGATGTCAGAGAAGTTCTTTCTTTTGATTTTTCCTTCTGGCATAAAGGAAGAAGATCAGTTGATTGAATGGGAGGTAGAAGCAAAAGAAAGAGGATTGGATATTTTGAATTATTGAATGGGATAAAAAGAAGGTAGAATTGGGCTAGTGAAGCCTGCTCGTTTATAGATCGTTGAAGGGACTACCAACCAGTGTTATTAAAAGCGCGAGCTTCAGCGCTTCTCTGCCACTGAAGCGAGGCGCCAGAGGAAAAGAAAAGCATGCACTTTTGGTGTCAAAGTGAGAAAGTCTGCGCTTTAGAGAGAAAAGCGAGAACCAAAGACTAATTTTAAAACTTACGCAAAAGAGTCTCACGCGACTTCTCTTCATCGAAAAATGGGAAAGGAATGCTAGATGTTTTGATAGCATAGAGAATAGTATGCAAAAGATTAAGCTAAACTGCCTTTTGTTACTATGTTTTTGGTGTAATCAAATATACTCAAATACACTATCTCCATAATTGAGGTTCTATATTCAATTTAGGTAGGAGTTAGCAGGATTTTGAAGTAAAATTTGTATATATGGTTTTCAGTACAACCTATGTACTGTTTGTGAGAAATATACGAAGTTACCTGTTCAAAAAAAAAAAGTGTGCTGCTAGAATTTTCAGAATAAAAGAGCAAGGTAGACTGAAATGTTCGCCGAAATTAAGAGTGGTTCCACTAGCATGGTATCTGTTAAGAATTCCCACATCGGAAAAGGGATGAAAATTTGGTCTCTTTATATGGACTTGGACAATCCTCCCCTTATGAGCTAGTTTGGTGTTGATTTAGGCCCAAGATACATCCTTACATGGTATCTGAGCCAGTCCCATCCCAATTCTTTATTCACCAATGTTGGCCCCCCATATTATAGTGTCCACGCTCTAGTTGACTAGGTCTGGGCGTCCGCGTGAGTGTTAAGAATTCCCACATCGGGTAAGGGATGGGAATTTGGTCTCTTATATGGACTTGGATAATCCTCCCCCCATGAGCTTAGCTTTTGGGGGGTTGGGTTGGGCCCAAAATCCATCTTTACAGTATCAGTACTAAAGTTATAAAAGAGCAAATAAGTGAAAAGTGAAAAGTATGTTGGAGCTTTAAATGCAATCAAACTATAGGCTAACCGCAGAAAAACCACCAATGAAGAGGGAACCAAAAAAAAGAAATGTAATGCAAACTATAATTACAAAAATGATTATTTGGACAAAAGAAGAGAAAAACTATAGTTAAATCGTTTATATATGTTGTTGTGCCCTTGAAGACAGAAACCCCCTTGGTGAGGTTGCACACACCTTAGCACCTTGACCTAAAGCACCTATTAAGCAAGGTGAAGCACCCAACGTGGGCTTCACCATGCTTCAGGGCTGAAGTGTGCTTTAGGCTAGCCTTTACCAACGGTGTAAAAGAATAGAAAAACGTTAGTCAGCTGACATTCCCAGTAGACTGAAGTTACTTGGAACTTTACCTATATTGTAGAGGATTGATACCATATGAGAAAATAAGAGAAGAAGAGATACTGATTTCGGTGATTGGATAAATAAAAGACACACCTCTTTAGTCTTTAATGGTGTCGACCACGATACACATATGTTATCTGTCCAATGTTGGAGAATACCTTACTTTAGAACTGGGCACTTCTAATAATGTTCTAATTTGACCTTTAACATTCTAACATTGAATGCTACTCTTCCTAGTTGCTGACAATTATCTCTAGTTAAAATTGAACTAGCTACAATGGAGAATATGTGGATGTAATATCAAATCTAAAACCTGACCTTTCTTGTGCTATCCTGTCATTCTATCTGCTTGAGTTCCCAAAAAGTACAGAAAATGCCATGCTCATATACTTCTTACTTCCACAAAAAAAAAAAAAATACGTACAGAGATTTTGATTGGTAAAATCAAGCATAATTGCACTGCAACACTTTTTGTTGAAGAAGTTTTCTACTGTTTGAATATGGTTGCACCTTTGTTTCTGTTGTACGCGATAGTGACTTTTGTGTTTGTGCATTACAATCTCATGTTGTTTTTCTTCTGGACAGGTTTAACGGAATCCCTGTTTCTACCCCACAAAGATATATACATTGAGTACGAGCAGGCCTCTCTTAGACAACTCTACAAAGCTAAGGTTGGGATAGTCTGTCTCTTAGTGGTCCATCATCTTAAACTTAGGATATCTCTCTGTCTAGTTTTCTCTTTCCTTTTGGTCTAACTTGCAGAAGAAAAATTTATAAGATACCTCTACAGCATGGTGATAAATAACTCCTGAAATAACAATCTAAATGTTAACATATCTGCTTTTCAGTATTTTATTTGGTTATGATGATGATGATATATGTATATACAAGTAATAAACTGGAGATTAAGAGAGAAAGGGATAAGATTTATGGACTGTCAATTGGCTGTGTTAGCAGGTTGTGGAAAGCTTGAGATTATTTCCTTGCAGAGCCCAAATAAGTTTCAATAGGACTACGTTGGGTGGATGTATGATAAAGTAATGTTCATAGCTGACTCATGTTTTCTGAAAACCATTAAACAATTTTGTACTTCGGGAGGTACATTGTTAGAAAAAAAAGATCATTATTAGTGCCATAAAATTGCAACAAGTTGCCGAACTTGGTGTTTATGAAGCATTTCACTGATAAAATATCATTATACTGATTATTACTCATAATCTAGCGTCAACACACTTCGGTTATACCTCGCAGATGGAGGAGCTACGTGCTGAAGGCCAGCAATCCTCCGAGTCATCTGGGACAATTGGACGCTCAAAAGGTGCTTCAATGGCATCCTCTCACCAGCAAATTTCTGTTACTGTGGTGACAGAGTTCGTTCGTTGGAATGAAGAAGCAGTATCCAGATGCACTTTGTTTTCATCACAGGTATATGTGACATATGTTTCAGGATGTTGCAGGGAGCTACAACCAGGGACAGATAAACATTGGTCCAAGGGGTGTCATGTGACACTGCTTCGTTGATTATTTTCTAACTAGATATACCTATAAAAGTAATAAATAAAACAATTATGAAAGGTAGAAATGTTAAAAGGACTCTGCTTGTACCAATGTCACTCAGTAGCTTGGTGGTTGGGTCATGGCTGTTCCAATGTTTGCGTGGGAGGTGCGGGATCAAACCTTCACAACCTCTTTTTTTTTTATGCAAATGCAGTTTTGGGCTTTTGGCAGTTTGGACCAATTCAATAGTGATACTGCTAATGGAAAATTCTGTGTACGCCACTGGCTACAACCTACTCTTTCTTGGAATGCATATATACCTTTGAGATGGTTGGGCACAGCTTCCTGATTTATAAAATTATCTAGGTGGAAGATCCAAGAGAATATATATTGCATTGAGCCTGAATACTACAGAGTCACACACACATACTCAAAGTCAATTAATTAGCGAACAGTTCTATAGAAGTCTAAAGACAACATTTTTTCTGACAAGTTTATTGGTCATGTTAGAGAATTATAATATCAAATGTCATGTCGTCCGTTTCCAGTAGACTGGTGCAGTTCTTGTCCTCGCACTTTGATATTGATCCAATCTGATTCGTTTCAGACCTACAGGGTTGACCTAATTGCTTGTTAATTTTTTTGTACAGCCTGCTGCAATTGCTGCTAATGTAAGGGCTGTTTTTACATGCCTTCTGGACCAAGTAAGTTCACTACTTTTCTATTTCAAAGTTTGTTTCTGCTGGAAGTAAAGTTGTCATAAAGGGCCAGCCGAGCCCCACCAGGCCCAAGCCTCGCGAGCCAAGGAATTTGATGGGCTAGGGCGCACCGGTCCTTCATTTGAAAGGGCCTGAAAAATGCTCAACTCAACCCTAGAAGGGTCGCAAGCTGGGGCGCGCTAGCCCTTTTTTATTCAAACTTAATATTCTCTAACTTAAAAGAACATGAAAAGATTTTCAAATCAAATATGTCAAACAATGGTGTTGTTTCAATATCACTAGCAAAAATAGTGTGATTCGTATGTATCTAGGATGCTAGATACGCGAGATACATGTATCTAGTGTGATGCATCCCTGATAGACGAGCGAAATAAGAGTCGCTAGCGATATGGGAGGGAGGCGAGGGTGCGGGATTTGTCTATGTATCTAATTAGATATATGCGAATCCACTTGGATGGAGTGTAAATAGAATAAATTACATAATTTTGAGTCCATGTATCTCGAGTTATATCACTACAACCAAAAAGGAATTTAGCGGCAATAATAAAGGTCATTAGCGGCAATAACTATTACCACTATAGCATTTACCGGCCGTTTGATTTTGGCTGTTATTGTTGGGGTCGCTAAAGCCTTCCTCGGCCATTCAGATGAATGCTGGTAAAGGTATACTTTATTGCCGCAAAAAGTCGCAAGCTATAATGGCAATTGTTTGTGGACATTATGATGGCTACTAAGGATAGCTAATTATGTTGTGTTAGCGACTATTTTTTTTGGCACTAATTCACTTAAATTGTCGATAAATGTAAGTAGATTTAGCGGCAATTAGAATGGCTAATAAAAGTCAATATCTTTAACAACAAATGTTTTGAGAAAGTGTAATGGCTACAGTAACCTTGTGAAAATATCTTTATTTTTTCTTTTAGCGTCTATTATTATAGCTTGTATATTAAATTAAATTGACATGTATGGAAATAAATAATGGCAACATTCATCAAAAAATTATCTAAGCAACATAATATATAACTAATTAATCATAAAACTAATTAAATCTTACCAAACCCTTACAACAACAAAAAACATAGTCACAGTAATTTTAGAAATAAACTCATTATTTTGACTAAACCAATCCTATAATCGTAGTCTTCAACTATTTTTTGTAATTCTTCATAATAAAATCTTGCATCTGCTAAATTTCGAACATCAAATCACATGACCTGAAATAGTAAATAAATGTGTCAACAGGTGAAATACAATGTGGAAAAATATTGTAAGTATTGTGATATCAAGCAATTTCAGATATTGAATTTTTAGAAAATTACAACAGATACCAAAGGCAGAGACAATTAAAAATTAACTGAATTATATGACAATATGAAAAACTCAATAGCAGTTACAAAGGAAAGAAAAAATCAACAAGAAAATAGAACCATTATAAATGCAGAAAGAATAAAATGAAACAAAATGCAACAACGTAGAAACTAAAAAAGAAAATGCATTCAGATTCTACTAAAACCACTAAGCCTGCTTCAACTACAAATATAGTTTTTAGCGAACATGTACATGCACCAAGACAAGAATAGATGGTCTTACACAAAGTGTTATTTCTGAATTTCAAAACTTGGAATATGAGTTTCGTTAAGCTACTTATCAATCTCAATTAACAAACTAATTGTACTACCTCTTTCTTGGTTATATGACACAATCTGACTTCAATAATCAGTTTGACCTATTTCAGTCTTGAAACTGCAATAATTTTAGTACTATCCAAAAGTAAATGTGTAGTTTTTAAACTATATTCAATGTTCTCTTTGTTCATAGAGATTTTAACTTTAAACACTAAAATAACCAGAGAAAATATAACAAGGGTGACGTAGTAGATAAGAAAAACATTGAATAAGTAAAGAAAGCTTAATGTATCAATTTACTTATAGCTATTTTTGCCTTCACCAAATCATGAGCAAAGATGGAAATATACCTATAGAATATTGTTTGATACTTATACATAAGAATAAGCTCAAGTTCCAAATCATCCCTCCTCCATTACGATATCCAATAAGTAACACAAATAACAAATCTGAGGTGTTCCAAAATAAATGAACTGTAATTAGACATTATAGTAGGAAAATGTATTTGACCATGAACTTCTAGGGCTTATGGTCAAAAAATTTAAATAGGAACAAAAAGTTCAGAAACAACATCAATAAGTCACTCAGTAATAAATGAGATGAAAAACAAGCAAGAAGGTGATTTATCCATTCATAAACTATAATTGAACATCTTATTTATGGGAAAGAAATAACATACACAATTGTGAAGCTCCTTGGTGATATAGAAAATGAATGCGCCAAAAATGATCTTGCTTTGAATTGAACCAAGATTAAAGGTCATTCAAGAAAATTAGAATAGAAATTTAATCATATATAATTAGAGTTAAGCAAAGTGATTTTAAAATTCTCATCGATGAGATCAAAACTGCAGCCTTACTCTATAGGTCTTCCCACAACACGAAAAAATAAAATAAAAATTAGACCATTTAGTACGAGAAATTGTTCTTGCATTTTCTAAAAGAAGATAACACAACTTGTCCATCACTTACTTTATTATTATATTTGTGTTCCATTATTTCCTATGTCCCCACAATTTTCATGCATATATCAGTATCAAAATTCCACTAATTGAAAAGGGTACAGACTTTGTCGGTGACAATAGGCTTCCCTCATGTTCTTAGGAGAAATATCTTTCTTTATTTGTGATGGCAAAAACTTGTCTAACATCAATAGGAGTAAAACTTAATCCCCCAAGGTCCCTTAGATTGAACGAACATATAAACCAAACTAGAGAGGGATAAATTAAAAGGCACTAACATATAAAATAATCAAATTTCAACTGACGCAACACATAAGAAAATATCTCAATAGAATTCATTACCTATAACACTTGAAGTTATATATCCAAGAGGCATATGAAGTGACATAGATATGGAGAAAGATATGAAGGGTATGAAAGCTGAACTTCTGCTAGAGTTTGAAAATATAGCTAAATTTGAGGAGATTGCATGGAGATAGAGATCAAGGATCAATTGGCTGAAACAGGGCGACAACAAAACCAAGTTCTTTCACAGAACTGCCAACTCACACAGAAGATACAATAATATAGATGAGTTAAATGTGGGGGGTGAAGTAGTCAAGAATCCAGAAGACATAAAGAAGGAAATTGTAACTTTCTATTAGAACTTATATTCTGAAATAGAAACTTGGAGACCTTCAGGTGGGTGCAGGATGTATCACAAAATTAATCTCGAAGATAACTAACTACATGCTTCAGAAGGAGTTTGAGGATCAAGAGATATGGGATAGTGTCAAACTTTGTGCTAGTGATAAAGCTCCTGGTCTTGATGGTTTTACCATGGCTTTCTATACCCATTGTTGGGAGGCTGTTGGAAAAGACGTGATTGCTACAATCAAGAACTTTCATTAGAGGTGTGTCTTTGAGAAAAGCTTCAACTCTACCTATGCGACTTTAATTCCAAAATAAAATGGGTGCTAAGGAGCTCACTGACTTCAGATCCATTAGCTTAACTGGTAGCATGTACAAGATCATCTCCAAAATACTCACCGACAGAATCAAAATGGTTATGCACAAACTGGTGGACCCTCAACAGTTGGCCTTTATAAAAGGGAGACAAATAATGGATGCCATTCTTATGGCAAATGACTGTGTTGATGCTAGAACTGTAAACAAGGCTCCGGGCATCCTATGTAAGCTAGACATTCAAAAAGCTTATGACCACCTCAATTGGAAGTACCTGTTAAAGACTCTTTCTAAAAGAGGTTTTGGAGGTAGATTGTTCAGATGGATGAAGTTTTGCATCAGCACTGCGAAATTCTTTGTTTTAATAAATGGCTTTCCTACAGTTTTTGTCTCTTCACAGAGAGGTTTAAGGTGAGGAGATCCATTATCTCCCTTTCTTTTTTTATTGCTGTGGAGGGACTAAATGATATGTTGAAAATCGCTCAAGAAAAGTCGCGGCTGAGAGGTTTTAGGGTATCCAGTAGGGTGGGGGCTGATCTGGAGATTACTCACTCACAATATGCAGATGACACTCTTGTCTTCTGTGATGCTAACAAGAACCAACTTAAGATTTTAAGGGTAATCTTCATGCTATTAGATGCTATCTTCGGGCTTCACATCAATTGGAACAAGAGTTTCTTGTATCCAGTAAATGAAGTCCCTGATTTACCTCCTTTCTGGCTAGGATTTTGGGCGGAAGAACGGGAGATCTACCAACTACATATTTGGGGATGCCCTTGGGAGCCAAAAGCAAATCTATAGGCATTTGGAATGGAGTGATTGAAAAATGTGAAAAAAGGTTGGTGAATTGGAACAGCCAGTACCTTTCTTTAGGAGGAAGATTAACACTCATCAATAGTGTTTTAGACTCTATGCGTATGTCACTTTTCCCTATTCCTGATGGTGTTATTGACATACTTGATGCTTTGAGGAGGAATTTCCTGTGGGAAGGAAATAGTGAAACCAAGAAATTCCACTTCGTAAAGTGGGATACTCTGAATAGGAGTAAACAGGTAGGGGAATTTAAAAATTCAAAATCAGAGCCTTGTAATGAAGTGGCTATGGAAATTTGCTTCCAATGAGCAAGCTCTGTGGAAAGATGTAATACAGGCTAAATGTGAAATGGAGGATCTCTGGATAACTAAAACGGTTACGAGCACTTACGGATCAAGCCATTGGAGAGCCATCAGAAACCATTGGCCAAAGCTAAGAGAAAACTGCTGTATTAAATCGGGGAATGGTAGGAAAACTTCTTTTTGGGAAGATAGATGGTGAAAGAGGGTCGATTTATTTTTATCGAACACCACCCTAGGCAGTCTGCAAACGTCTGCAACACTCAACCTATCTCACTCACGTTTTTGACCAAGTATAGAAATACTTAAAGCAGTAAACTTAAACAACGGACAACGTGTTATAGGATTCTCTTCCCAACCTTTATTAATCTCATAATCAATACAAGGAAGGCTTCACGAATTTTGTCTAAGGCGAGAATCAATCTGCTGAGCCTTAGACGAAATTTCCACCCTTTAAAATCTCTGCACATGGCAGTTACATTCGACATTTACAAACGGCAGTTACAAGCGACCTGTCCGACACTTGTCATTACAGGATTTAAACGAAGTTTCCAACATCTATATTTCGAACAGATAGAATATAATTCGAATTACATCCTTATCCAAATGACATAACAATATTCTAACACTTGGAATATTTCAGCCTACATTCCAACACTTAGAATATTTCAACTTGTTTCCAAGACTTAGAATATTTCAGCTCTCCTTCAACACTTAGTTTTATTTCAGCAATCCATGTGAATGCCTTTGTCTTGCCATCGTCAAGTCTGACATCCTTGCCTTGTCAAGCCAACACACTGTCTTGCCGACGACTCCTGCCCACACGTAAGCCTTGCACGTCCAAGCTACTTTGCCAACACCCAAGCACCTTGAACCTTTGTTGCATTGTTTTGCCCCCATGCATGCCAAGACCAATGCCCAAGTCCTTGTCATGACTGCACGTAGTTAGATCGAGTAGTTTACACGTCTAACATATGGCTAGAACAAGAATCTTTTGAAACCTTGTTCCCGGATATTTTCACCCTAAACCAGCAGCAAAGAGCCACTGTAGCAGAGATGTGGTCAAACCAAGGGTGGAATCTGAGCTTTAGAAGATCTCTAAATGACTGGGAGATCCAAAGGTTGGTGGAGTTTTACAAGTTCTTAGGGCAGGTCAAAGGAACTATTGATGCACAAGATAGTTTGGTATGGCAGGATCACAATCGGGACAATTTCAGTGTTAGAAGAGCGTACAAAAAACTTAATCCTTGTAACAGTCAGAGGAATGGGTGGCCATGGAAGTTGATATGGAAAACTAAAATTCCCTACAAGGTGTCTTGTTTTACTTGGCTCCTTGCTAAGAAGGCAGTTTTGACCCAGGAAAATCTCATGAAAAGAAATATTCAACTGAGTCCTTGGTGCCTTCTATGTGGTGAAGAAGAAGTAGAGACTGTCAACCATCTCTTCCTTTACTGTAGAATAACCAACATTTTGTAGAATGTCTTTATCAATCAGAAGGACATGAGCCTAGGAAGTTACGCAGACCCTGAAGTTATGGAGCAGTTATGCAAGCATTTTCGGGCATACAGAAAGATGGAAAATCATTCCGTCTTGCATCTGGTGGTCCATGTGGAAAGAAAGAAATCTCAGATGCTTCCAAAACAAGAGCAATTCCATCCAGAAGATTAAGATGAACTGCTTAGTTTTGTTTCTTTTTTGGTGTAAACAGGAGTACATGGTAGATCTAGAATCAATTAAAGATGTTTTAGGTTCCTTGTAAATTTTGCTATAGGATTAAAGATCTTCCTGGTACTCTCCACAATTGTAATTAGGAATCTGTAACTTGTTGTGGCAGGTTCTGGTTTTTGTTTTGGAATAGAATACAAGTTGTTACTGTCTCAAAAAAAAAAAAGAATTATGATTATCATTGAGCGATCTCCTATATTTTCATCATTGTCAATCATCCATTTGTATCATATGAAGCGCATAACAGTCAGTGTCAATCTCTCATATTAGTCAATAGAGTATACTAAGAAAACAAAAGAGATTCCTACAAAGAAAAATTATAATTTATTAATTCCATAGTTGATGCCTAATGCTGTTGGGACGAGTTGACATTAGGGTGATCTTATACATGGCTTTAGATAGGCAAAAAGGGAGTGTAATTTCTCCAGGTTTTACAATAAGCTATTAATTAGTAGGCTCTCATGAACAAATCTACACCAGCTCCAATGGACGCGAGGAATTATAAAAAATATGAGAATGAATCAGGTGTTAATGAGGTTCGTGAGGAAGAGGTAATGAACCAGATAAATCTAGTTAAGGCACATCACTGCATGTGCAATGATTTTTCTTATCTAGAGGTGGCTATGACAGTAAAAAATAATCAGATTTCAACAAAGGTTAATCCCATTCTAGTGGTCGATACAACCTTAGTCAACTTGAACACATCGGTACAAGATATTTCTTCACAATCTTTGGCGAGAAAGAACGAGAGTCTAGGCAGCAACTATTATCAATTAGGAATGATAAGAATTTGAAAAAAGGTAATATGTCAATCTCTAAAGCTAACTTCACAAATTAGTTGATTATTTCTAAAGGTGTTACAAGATCTCCTAAGTGGACTAATTAGAGAAAGTTCTGGACAACTTAACAAGAGAGGGAAGGACCACATCAATACAATAGTTTTATACGCATTGAGATATTGGAATCGATTTATTATTGTTCACCTATATAAAGTAAGACATTATATACAGCCATGACTAGAAACGTCAAAGTAAATAACATATTTCTCTAGTATCATGATCAAAATATGAATCTCAAAATATCAAATATTTATGTTCATGATTTCTTGTGATACCTTGGTAATGTTGTCCTAGCATATAGCATAGTTGTAACATTAAAAAAACAGTAAGTTCTTAGACATATAACAAGTACATTAGTTGTCTTTGAATTGCAGGTAAAGTAATATCCCTCGCAATTTTAATAGGAAGATCTAGACAAGATAAGTGAAACACAGTAAAATATAGTCATTTTGATTGTAGATATGATTCATTTCAAAATTAAACACTGAAATTTAATTTAAGATTTTTAAAGCATGCCTTTTTTTAATCAAAATAATGTATATCTTCATAATGATATATTTTAAAACAAGAAGACATGAAAGGATTTTAGAATTTCTATCCAGAATTAGTTTTATTCAATTAGAAATCCAAGTGTGACAGTATCATTTTGCAATTTGCATCTTAATAATTTCAAAAATGTGATTTATCAAAATATTTTGAAGTATCTAAAGGAAGGAAATGCACAAGGATTGAGAGATCTTAAAAAGTTTATCGGGTTATCACATAAGCTTATTTCTTTACTTATTTTACCATGTAAAATTAAAAAGATTAACTATTACCTAAACCTAATGACCAACATGAGATCAATTGATTAAAAAGAAGGGAAGAACACACAGACAAACAACAAATAATTTCTATACTGAAGTTGGATTAAAAATTGATGTATATCATTTCTTGTGGTTTATTTTTTATCATGGTTTCAATTAATCATCCCTTCAAGTGATTAAAATCATATTACCATGTTTATTGAGTTACTGAAATCTATGATTCAGGCATAGATAATGAAAATGGATCTAAAAAAGCGAGTCCACTTTTGGGTTATTTTATTATTTAGCATGCTTTTTGGAGGGAACACCTATACCTACACAATTACCATTGGAAACAGAGATTGTGCACTTTCTAGCAAGAAAGCTAGTTCCTAAAAGATCCAAACTATTATAATGAATGAAAAGATCATAGACAACACCCCTTATATGCAGAATATTAAACAAACAATCACAAAACAAAAAGGTTAAAAAGACTAAAAGAGGGAAAATGCAAACCTTAAATAGGGAACAAGCATTACATGTGAACTTTTTATATCCTCCAAAGACACTAACATCAAAACACGATAAATAGAAGAATATCACTATAATTACCATAGAAACAGGATCAACAAAATTATTTTCCTTCATTAGTGCCATCTAAACCCTAAAATCAAAATATCTATCTGAACAAGAATTATAACACTGGAAATTCTGCGAGTATGTGTCTTCCTATAGAAATTATTAACAGAGCATAACTACTTAAGAAAAAAATCTAACAAATTGGAAGTGAGAAACATCTTACCAAACCAATTACGAAAAATATGCCACTTCACTCTTTCAAAATCAAATCCATCACAAAATAATTGAGACAGAAGTTTCAAATGTAGCATAGGATTTTGCACGACTTTGTATTTAGGCTTTGATTGTAGAATAAGATATGATGAAGGTACGGTTTGATGTCTGAGTATTGTGCCGAGATGAGGGAGGAAGATGGGCCTAATATAAGGAGGGAAAGGTAAAAAGTGTTGAAGTGAAGATTAATTCTAGTATTTAATGGTTATTCCCTTCTATTGCCACGAAAAACAATTATCATTTCCAGCTAATATTAATTTGCCGAGGATACATTGACATAAAATATAAATTACCGGCAATTAGCTTATTGCCTCCAAATAATTGTCGCCAAAAGCAACTTTTGTAGTAGTGTATGTATCTGGACACACCAAAATCAGGTAAAATCGTAATATTACATCATAATGTGCCTCTAAGCGATTAGCTCATACACCAGTGAGATTTTTGTAAGTTGACCTACATGTGATCAGTGATGGGTTGAACTATGATTTTTTTGGTTCAATTCCAAGAGCAGACAAGAACAAAGAAATCAACTGTTACAAGTTTTGATGGAAACAATTATCCAATTTAATGCTATGGAATATAAATATTGGCCCAAGGGCTGACCCCGGCCCGGCCCGGATCAAGCCTCAAGGGCCAAGGGCTTATTTGGCTGGGCTTGTAAGCCCTAGTCTTAAATGGGATTGAAAAGTCATATCCCAACCCTACCCTGGTAATGGGTTGGGCTGGCCCCATGGGCTAAGCCCATTTTAACGGCTCTAGCTGGAAGTATTTACGTTATTTTCATTTGGCATGACGACTATGTAATTGAATATTTCTTTTTTTGGGAGGTTGAGTGTAATTCATTGTACATAGATATCCTTTTATTTCTTCTACTTTTCAGAGACTGGAATTTATGTATGGATCATTTCCTACAGAACTACCTTGCATAGTAATGTAGCATATTCATGGATGGAGGATAGCTCTGCCATTGTTCTCTGTCATTTGTGCGTTGTATCATTAGCTGCCTTATTCCAACTCTTGCAGGTGAGCATATACATAACTGAAGGTCTTGAAAGAGCCAGAGACAGTCTCACTGAGGCTGCTGCTTTAAGGGAAAGATTTGTACTTCCTAGTGTAAGTCGAAGGGTTGCTGCTGCAGCTGCTTCCGCGGTAATTACTTTGGCATTCATGTCTACTACGGTCTGAAAAATATGTAAATTTTCCTTGTGCACGAGTATACAGTCATATATAGCTGATTTAACCATATCATCTGTGGTATTTAGGCAGAAGCAGCAGCTGCTGCTGGTGAAAGCAGTTTCAGATCTTTCATGGTTTCTGTGCAACGCTGTGGGAGCAGTGTGGCTATTGTGCAGCAAGTATGTTGGTTTGATGCTAGTGAACTAGTGAAAATCTTTGTGATTAAAATATTAAACAATCTCATGTACAAATTTACCAGTTTCAAAGATAAATAAACACAATCTCATGTTGTCTCTTTTGGGTTCTCATTGAACTCCTTTTCTTCAGTATTTTGCAAACTCTATATCTCGACTTTTACTGCCTGTGGATGGTGCGCATGCTGCTTCTTGTGAAGAAATGGCTACAGCTATGTCAAGTGCAGAGGGTGCTGCTTATAAGGGGCTTCAGCAGTGTATTGAAACTGTTATGGCAGAGGTCTGATTTGTAACATTTAATGTGTTCGACTGTTGTGGTAGTCTTTATGTGGGACTTGGCCTCATTATTACAATCTCAATGGCACCTTTTATCAGTCGTTTTGAATTTCTCTGATTCTATTTTGTTTCCTTTCAGATCAAAGCTTATGTCTGATATTAGGTTACACTTCCTTTGACTGTTCTCAGGTGGAACGTGTACTGTCAACTGAACAAAAAGTCGCAGATTATCGATCACCTGATGACAGCATTGTCCCAGACCATCGGCCAACACAAGCTTGTTCAAAGTCTGAACTAATTTAAGCTTTACTTATGCCATATAGAGTAGAGAAATTATAATAAGATGATCTCTGGAAGGATATTAAGCTGCCTATTATTTTACTGGCTTTTAAATATCAACACACGCCATTCTTAATATGTCAAGAACGCATTTGAGTCCGAAACCTCCTATGCATAGTGTTTGGCCTTTCATATGTTTTCTTGTCTCTTTCCCTCGTAATACATCTTAAGTTTTTTTTTCTTTTCTGAAGGATATTTTATGTATTCTTACGGCTTCTCCCTTTATCAGAGTTGTCGCATACCTTTCAAGGGTGCTTGAATCGGCATTCACAGCGCTGGAAGGGCTTAACAAACAAGCCTTTTTGACTGAATTGGTATATTCCTGTTTTTATTTCTGCGTACGCTTATTCCTAGTCTGACCCCTAAATGCTGACAAGGTTCAGTGGGTTCAGTTATTTGCTTGATATTGCTCCATCTTATTCTACAAGTTATGCTAGGTGATCACTGATCCTACTGGTTAATGCTTTAATTTTATTTATTTATTTTCTATTCTTATTTACATGGACCACGTCACCAGGTGAGTGTAGGTGTTAAAAGAGGGCAGGTAGACCTAAAATCAGATGGAAGGAAGTTGTCTTTGAGGAAATACAAATTTCTGGGGATCAATGCAAAATTAGTGAAAGATGGGTGGGAAGAGAAGGATCTATATAGGCAATACCTATTGGTTGACAACATATTATAGACATGTTGACACCTTCACTGTAGGTCCTATGCTTTCTAGGAATGGCTTAGCGTTTAAGATATTTATACGTTTAGGAGATATACTGAACTTCTATTACTTCTTATTTGTATTTGTATAATGTTGGCATGAGATGGGTTTAAATGGAGTAACATGGTCAGTGAAAGTTCATATAAATGACCCCAACTTGTTTGGGAGTTGGGACTGAGGTATAGTTGTTGCTATTGTTATTGGTCTTATTTACATGAATATATTAAGATGGCCTTAAACATGCCATAGGCCACAACTTTCAAAATTCCTAACAAATGGAAGCTCCAAGCAACTTAAACTACTTAACCTGCATTTTAAAATAGGAGAGTTTCTCTGCAACACCATGTTATTGTTTTTTGACTGTTGGGAACTTGTTAATATTTAGGCTGTCTACAGCCGTTTTACAGCTGTCCACAATGTGTTGTGTTGATTCAGCTGATTACATTATCTGTAATTTTTTCCAGCTTGTAGTTATTACTCTTAGAATCAAAATTTCTGGTAACAATATGGTGCATGTTTTTCTCTTTTAATAGGGGAATCGTTTACACAAAGGCTTGCTTAATCATTGGCAAAAGTTCACCTTCAATGCAAGGTACTTCCTTTCGGTATTGCTGTTATTGCTGCATGTTTAAGTTAATAAAATTGGAGTTGCAAAAATTACATTATAGGATCCATAGTAGGAATAGTTCCCTTCCTATAGCAAGCTAATGCTTATACTTCCACTAGTGTCTGTGAGTCTAGAAAGCTATCTGCCTGCTAATATTTCTATTGCATAAAGCCAAAAGAGAAATTTCTGATGTTTGTGTCATTTCAACATTATAGAAATTAAAGAAATATAAAGTCTCTGTTCGGTAGATTGTAAACCAGGTGGGAATCTAGTTTCATGAAGTACTATACTTGTGATATTTTTGTTAATAGATTAAAGGCCAAACACGTGATTACCTTCCTCTCCTTCTGTTTTTAGTCACACGTCAACTTGTGTACTGATGCTTCAAGGATCATTCTTGGTTAAGAAGTAAAAACATTTTGAAAAGCACCATCATTACTCAACAAGAACAACAACAAACTACGCGACCTCTCGAATCCGAAGTAATTTGGAGACGGTAAAATAAACCCTTACTGATCATGTTGTTGTTTTTGTAACCCCCCACCTCCATTTCTCCTTTCATAACCCCCAGTTCTTTTATAAAGGGGCTAAAAATTTTAATCCGCTTAATCATTAACCCATTTTAAAACAATCTTCAACTTAGCCCCGTTCTATGCCCAATTCAACCCTCTTTTACCTGCTTTTCTTCAATTCTTTATGGCTTTCCACAATTCTGTTCTATGGGATGTGGAGATAAGTTTGCTGAGACGCCCTGAAGAGATGTTCTATATATTGAGCACAGTTAGACTTCTCCATATATTCTTTCTGACTTGCCTAAAGTCAAAGCAAGAAACTATCTACAGTTCACGCCATGCAATGCCATGGATAAATAAAAGATCCGTAGATTTCAAGTCAGCTTTCTTATGTTCCAGATTTTCTATTTTTCATTCTATGTGTGTTGAGCAGATCTGGTCTTTTCTTTTGTACATGAATGTATTTGGAAATCCGTGGAGCTCCTATGTAGAAAATTGTCCAACTGTTTGTCACATATTATGATAAAATGGTTCCCAGTAAAAGCTTCTACAATCTGAATGGCGTCAAGTGGTTGGAACTCTTGATATATGAATAGTGACCAAATTATTAAGTCTGACTGGAGAAATTGGAAATAAATATGTTTTTCAAGCTCACCTATCAAAAAATCTTTTAATCAAAGCTTATGCAGTTTCTTTACCAAGGAAAGAAATAAAGGGAGGTGTTGCACCCATGAGAATGATTAAGCATGAGTTTTGTATCATTTTTTGGTACTCTTGTGACTACATCAAGATTTCAAAGAAACAAGTACTAGCTCCAGGGCTTTGGTTCAGTGATGAAGGCACTACAGACTACAGCGTGGATGTATGGTAGGCGTACATCATGAGTTCAAATCATGAATGGTAAACCAAGTCTGGTGCTTTAGTGGAGAAGGGTGGAGGGTAGAATCAAATAGCAACTGAGTTCCGAAGATGAAAATAGCAGATTTCTTGGTCATTAAAAAAGGAAGTATTTACTAGTGAATTGTTTTTCTTGTTATCAGTGCTAACTAGTAAATTGTTAGCTAGGCACTATTCCAAAGGGATCATTTACTGGGATTAATCCAAGTTTGCTGGGTGCTGCATGTATATGGTGGACTCTATGGAAAGAAAGGAATGCTAGGTGTTTTGAAGGACAAAGTGATAGTTTTCAGAAGATAAAAACCAAATGCTTAAGTCTTATTTTTTTTGGTGTAACCAAGAGTTGGTAGGGGAAAGCATAGAGATGGTCGATTTTATAGGGAACTTGTAATTCTGTATGTCTTTTTGAGGGTGTGCCTACCACCCTGTGGGATGTAAGTTTCCAATTCATCATCCCTTGGATGATGAACTTTTTGTGAATACAAAGTTACCCTTATTTCAAAAAAAAAAAGGGTTTGCTGGGTGCTGCACCTCTATTTCTTTTTTGCAATGATAAGTAAATCCCCTGTACACTCAGTAATTTAAATATAACTATCACACTCTCTTTAATGCTTTATCATTTACTCACATGAAGTCATTGTGTATCCATGTGTGCATTTAATTGCACACTTCTACACAAACTCAATTCGCTCCATTGTTTTGACTTGGTCAGTCACTCATCATGTTTTTCTTACTTGTTCCCTGTCTCTTTCTGAAATTGAAACCATGGCAAAGTAGACACAGGTGACGGAATAAACGAGTTTGTGCTTTCTGGTATATTGCATAATATCTCTCTTGTCTTTGTAGTGGAGGATTGCGTTTGAAGCGTGATATAACAGAGTATGGGGAGTTTGTTCGTAGTTTCAATGCACCTTCAGTTGATGAGAAATTTGAACAGTTGGGCATGTAAGTTGCTAGTGTTTTGAAAAATTGAATGCCGTCCAAAAAATATGATATAATCCTGATAACCTGGTTTATCATTTTTTTCCAGCATGGCAAACGTGTTTATTGTTGCACCTGAAAGTCTATCAACACTCTTTGAGGGAACCCCGAGCATTAGGAAAGATGCACAGAGGTAATTATCATGTTTAAGTCACCTTGTATACTGTTAACAAACAGACTGTTCTCCTGCAGATTCTCTCATAAAATTAGATGTGTTTTACAAACATGTCTATCGTGTATTATCACCACCATTAGCTATCAATTACAATCATTACCACCAGTCATCATTACAACCAATTACTGACTATTACCAGCCATCAACCATCTCTATATACTGCCATTAGTTATCGTTATCGTCCACCACAATTATTTGTTGCCACCAGCAACTATCACGATCAACAACTACTATAATCACTATTGCTAGTCATAATCACCACTAGCTACTACCCATAATACCACCATCATCGAGCACAATCTCCAATCAACAACCACAATCATGAGAGTGCTAGCCATCAACATTGTTTGTTATGTTACTTTTTCGAGAACTTTTGAATGATATAGCATTAGATTAATTTAGTATTTTTTTGATTTTTTTTTATTTATGAACTTTTAATAAAGGCAAATTTGATGCATTCAGATGTTGAGAAAACAAACTGTATGTAGTATTCAGATTTTTATACAAGTTAGTGTTAACATATGAATTCTGATTCAGACATCTAAAAATTATTGCACATCTTAATACGTAAACGTACATTTTGATTCAGATGTCGTAAGTTAAATAAAAATAAATGAGGCCAAAGTGGGTCCATTTGTAAGCTCATTTTCAATCAGGAAATAGTTTGAGAATATGCTCAAGGACTTATTTTCTGTGAACTCCAGGTTCATTCAGCTTCGGGAGGACTACAAGAGTGCAAAAATTGCAGCGAGACTCAGCTCCTTATGGCCTAGCTCTAGTTAGAACAAAAGTTAATGAGCTTTTACAATAGTGGTGAGCTGGATAGAGCTATACAGTTGTTCGGTGAGGGCTTTCCACCTCCTATATTTGTCGTCTTTTACCTGAGCTCGAAGATAGAGAAATGTTGCTAATTCAGAGTAATTCATCCTTGAAAGTTCATATGCAACCCCTAGCCCCTTCTGTGTAATCATCATTTATTGTTTTCTTCACGATCTGCTCGTGTATGTTGTGGAACTAGGTATCGAACATGCGTATGTTTTTGCTAATTGTGACTAGTTTGTTTATATGCTAGGTATGCATTTGTATTGTTAAAAGTAGATGAGACGAATGTACCAGTTTTGTTGTTATAGATTCTGATTGTCCTATACTTTATAGAAGTTGTTGCAGTAAAGGTTATCTTCTTTACTATGTGCAGAAATTTAAGGATATGTATGCTTGACAGCGGAGTCTATCCTATTATTACCTTGTGGTTAAATCTCTAAAATCATCTTTTTCTGAAGGAAAAATTATAATAGTAATTGGAAAAAAATGAATTTATACAGAGTTTTATGTCTTGACAAGCTGTTTATTCGATTAGTTTGGATTTGCTTAGTATTTAATCGAAACCAAGGATAATAAAGGGTCCTTCGCACAAATGTCATACACAAAGATTAAAGGCGGTTGAAAATATCTATAAAGTTATGCCTCAAGAGACATGACTTATTGTCCTTTGTTTGGCTGGTTGGCTAGAGTGACAAGTTCTGTTTCAGCTACAAGTTACAACTAATGATTTCATAGTCCTTTTCCTTCAATTGCTAGAGCAGCCAGTCTTACAAGATACTATATATGACCGTTTACTCGCCATTTTCTACAATGGTGGTAGTAGGGCGAGCTTGAACTCACCTCAATTATTTCATCAGATACTTGCTTTGGACTCTCATAATTTTCACCTACTTCATGAACCGTTTAGTCACACCCTCAAATGCAAAATCTTCAGACATCATTATCAGAATTCAGAAGAATGATGGAACCAAGAAATCAATATCTGCTGGATGCTGCATGAACAAGACATATCTAAACAGACTTTCATATGTGAAGGTGAAATACTCAGCTTTTGATTAGGGACAAGTCTCTTCTACACAAACAAAATCTGTAAGCAGCTAACAAATCCTAAGACAATGAGGGATCATACTCCAGGCAAGAGGATACATAAATTTCTACACAACATTCCATCTAATCAGACAAGGCCTTTCATAATGTAGCTCTTCCATTTCAAAGCCTCATACAACATTCTCTGAAGCTATTTCAACATGCTTGACAGTAGAAGAATGATGTACTGGAGATGTAAACAACTCCACAGGCATCCAAAGCAGTAGATGCATACGTACAAATCCTTAGAATTTTCTTCCTGGCCATTCTTATTTCTTGATTAATCCTTAGTAACCCACCACTGAAAAGAAACTTTAATACTTCGAAAGTTCTGATCACTGCTACTTTCTCCATCACCTTCTGCACTTGTTTATCTCTTCCATTGATAATTATGCAAATGGTTTGGGAAAGGGGGTTGGTAGAACGCACCCAAGGATGTGACCTAGCGGTCAATGAAGTGGTTGAAAACCCTGAGGTATCAGGTTCAAAACTCAGTGGAGACAAAAGATACTATGTGATTCTTGTCATCTGTCTTAGCCTGGGTGGACAGAGTTATCTGGTCCTGTTACTGCGGGAGGTGGCATCCGTGGATTTAGTCGAGGTGTGTGAAAGTTGACCCGGACAAAATAAAATGAGATGAGGGGTGGGGGTGGCGTTGGCATATCAATATGTGGATAACAACTTAATTATGAGCAGATATAACACAACGGAATGCTCCTGACCAATAACCATATCATTAAAGATCTATACACTTTGATTCTGTTGTAGATATAAACAAAAGAGATGCGAGTCTCAAATGCTCATCTCCATGCCATCTAAGTTCACGAAATACCCATCTCCTCTTGAACTTCTAATCCTTCCATCTGAGAAACGGTATCAACAGAACTTATAACTTAACTTAGAAAAAAACTTGTTTTGGAGTTTGATATGTATAAATGTGAAATCGGAGTATAAGATAGCATGTTTCACGGGATTGAAACACATCATTATGACCACAAGAAAAAGAGATTTCAACTTCAACAGCGACATCGCTTTAAATTTAGCCAGGAGAACATTTCAAAAGAAAGAACCTACTAACTACTAGATATTGAGTTACATCAGACAGCCAGGTTTCAACAGACTGAGGAATAAATAAGAACAAATCCAGCAGGACTTTTCATTTCAGAGGAGATTGTACACACAAGGACTAATACTTTATAACTAGGAGAAGTGGTTAAGTTTAAGAAGAAAAGCCCCACTTGTTTGCTAGTGTGAGACATCATTTTGTTGGAGTTCAGACTCAAGGGGGAAAATAGCATAGAGAGCTCATAGCGTGCAGGCTGTGCTGGTAGGCAACCTTCTGAAGAAACCAGCAGAAAATCAGAAACACTGCTGTTGCCCTAGGGTCTCTCCAGCTCCGTAAAGATAGAAGCCTCTCCCCTTGAGTAGCTCAGTCATCAACCACAGTCTGGATTGTCGCTGCAATCATTCTCAGACGGTCATACCTCATGCTAACGATATCATGAGAAAATGAAGTGGGAAAACCATCATATTCTTCAGATAATTCATCAGGAAGAGCAGTATCGGCACATGAAAGACAAGTGTCTGTGAGTGCGGGATGCATTGGCTTTTTTTCTGTAGTTCCAAGCACCGATCAAGGAGAGAGAAGTTGGTAAATAAGTTTTGGACTTAGAACCAGTGTGATGAACAAGATATGGATCAGAAAAGTGTTGGGAAAGACGAGCACAAAATAGATGTGCACGACAAAGGCATAGAGGAAGAAATCTAAGTCAAAACTTTTCCTTCTATTTGAACCAAGAGAAGATAAAATAATGTAAGAATAAAATAGTTTGGGGCAGCAAACCAATCAACCAAGCAAGAAAAATAAATCAACACAAGAGACGCCAAATTTAACGTGAAAAACCTCTTCGGTGTGAAGAGTAAAAACCACAAGACCAAACCTCCACTATAATCAAAAAGAGTTACAAAAGTGTCCTCCAAAATGGTCACCAACAAAATGTCAAACAATGAGCAACACAACTACAAGATAGCACTAAAAACTAGAGAAACAAAAAGAGCTAAAATACCCAAATCACAACTACTGTTCACGAGCTAAAATCTAGAGCTACAGGACTCCAAAATATCCTCTCTCAGTTCCCAATTAAAGATTAAGTTGAAAGGAACACGCTGTCAAAAAATCAACTCAATCGGAAAAGAAACGAAGCGGAAATTGCGATTTAAAAAATAATTGTTATGACTTGTGCGAAAATCTGCACTTTCTCTCTTTTCCATCTATATGGCTGCTCTCAAACTCTTGTGATTCTCTTAAAATTAAGACCTAAAAGAAAGTCTTACATATGCACCATAACATTTGGCTTATGGCAAAATTAGGCTTATCAAATTTGGGTTAATTTTATCCACAAAGGAAATGATGGAAGATCCCAAAACCTTGGACTTTTATTCATCCACATAGAAAGGGAAAAAGGCCCAAAACCCAAAAATTCTCCCCCTACCGACAATGTGGAGGAAACCGCCATCCCGACGATAATGCAACATTCTTCAAACTCCCCTATTAGTAAAGATTTAGTCACCATGTCGGAACCATTATCATTGGTATGGATTTTCTTAAGTTCAAGCAACTTAGGATCCAAAACATCTCGAATCCAATGATACCTCACATCAATGTGTTTAGAGCAATTATGAAATGTAGAGTTTTTGCCAAGATGATAGCACTTTGACTGTTGCAATAAAGCACATACCTCTCTTGAGCACAATCAAGTTCCCCCAAGAATCTCTTCATCCAGATCAATTCTTTGCAAGCTGCAACAGCTGCAATAAGCTCAACCTTTGTAATAAATAAAGCAACACTTTTTTTGCAATCTAGATTGTCAAGACACAGTTCCCCCTACAAAAGTCATCAAGAAGCCTGAAGTAGACTTACGAGTATCAACATCGCCAGTCATGTCTGAATTAGTATAACCGCAAACAATAGGTTTCCCTATCCCAAAACACAAACTCAGGCTAGAAGTGCCATGCACAAAGATATCTCATAATCCACTTTACAACATTTCAATCTCTCTTTTCGGATTAGAAAGAAAATGACTAACAATACCAACAACATGAGAAATATTTGATCTTGTATATATCATTGCATACATCAAACTACCAACAACTGAAACATAAGGAACTTGCTTCATATCTTCCTTCTCACCATCACTGGAAGGACAATGTATAGCACTCAATTTGAAGTGCATAGCTAAAGGTGTACTGACAACCATTAGCTTTGTCCATGTTGTATCAATGGAGTACTTTCTGAATGTACTTCTCTTGTGACAATCACAATTTCTTGGCATCTCTATCACAGACAATCTGCATGCCAAGAATCTGCCTTGTTGGTCCCAAGTCTTTCATAGCAAAAGACTTATTCAATTCTTGCTTCAACTCTTTAATCCAGAAAGCATTCTGACCAACAACAAGCATGTCATCAACATAAAGCAAAACGATAATAAAGTCATCATCGGAGAATTTTCGCACAAAAATAAAATGGTGTGAAGAAGTCTTCTTGAAGCCATGCTGACTCATAAAAGAATCGAATTTCCTATACAATTGTCTAGGAGCTTGTTTTAGACCATACAAGCTCTTCTTCAATTTGCAAACATAATTCTCTTTTCCCTTGACTTCAAAGTCGTTTGGCTGCTCCATATAAATTTCTTCATCCAAGTCACCATGGAGAAAAGCAGTTTTAACATCCATCTGTTCAACCTCCAAGTCTGTTACAAGTCCGGACTTGCAGCCAAGCCTAGAATAACACGGATTGATGACATCTTCATAATTGGAGAGAATATCTCATCAAAATCAATGCTCTTTTTTGGGTTAAATTCCTTCACAACTAATCTAGCTTTGTATCGTGGAACTGGGTTACCATCTTCATGTTTCAACCTAAAAACCCACCTGTTCTTTAAAGCTTTTCGATCTTTAGGTAACACAACCAAATCAAAGGTATGATTATCATGTAGAGATTTTATTTCATCCTCCATAGCCTCAAACCACATTTCTTTTTCTTCACTTTCCATGGCCTCATCAAGACTCTCTGGTCTCCCCCGTCATTCAAGAATACATACTCATTGGGAGGATAACGAGATGAAGGTATTTTGTCTCTAGTAGTAGATCTTCTGAAACAACTCTCGGGAGCATCAATAATAGTTGGTTCCTCACCAACTACATCGTCTAGCACTTGAGCATCAACGACATACTAGTCATTCTAAGTATGATCACCATATTCAATATCAACTTGAAGATTT